AACGGCTGTATTCTGTTGCCGTTTGATGCTTTTCAACGCTTGATAATCATAAAAATGTAAATTCACACACATAACAGCTCTCAACAACAACAACAACAGCAGTAGCAACAGCAACAACTATTGGGTTATGAAATGAAAAATGAAAATTTTTAGTGGAGGGCATTTTGGTTTCAACTAAAAGACTGGACATTCACAATTTGGATAGAATTGCTCACTGCTCCTACTCTGGCTTTAGTAGTTCAACTGTTGTGTCTATGTATGTATGTGTGTGCGTGTATAAGTAGTGAGTGCCTGCGGGTAATTAAATGGGAAACAAGTAAAAAATTGCTTGTTGCTTTTACTCTCTCTAGGACACTCAACATCAAAATTACTACATACATATGTACATTAGGGTGGTAACCAAAATTGGCCCCTATCACTATGTGGCAGTGTTTTAATAACGAAAACCTTTTTCACGGGACATTTTGGTGCAAAAACCTTCCCCTGCAAATCGATTTTCTAAAACCATTCACAAACTAATTTACATGAATTTTAAATAGTGTAATCTACAAGTTTGGGTAATAAATTTTGAAGAGGGATAAAACGCAGTCCCTATTCTTGTTTTTTCTCGGTGCAAATGTCGTGGACCAAACAATGACACTTGTTTAAATACAAAATTTCCGATTGTGTACTAAAAAAATTTAAATTTTCTCTACAGTAAATATCGAAACGGGAAAAAGTGATATACATTTTCGACGTACTTTTCTATACTCTATGTGTAATGGATAGGGCCGATTTGAAGTTTTCATAAAATTAATAGAAGTTATTACCCTAATGTACATACATATTTATACACTAGTATTTAAGAATATTTGTATGTAAATGACTATGGTGTAAATGTGTTCATAAGTGTGTAATAGTTAAAGCTATAGCCATCATCAACATCCTGATCATCATCATCATCATCATCTATGTATAAGTTTATCGTCATATTCAACGACTCGTCGTCGTCACACTACTATCATTACCACCATGAAACAAAATATATTGTAGTTCTTTTATATTCCGTAATTTGCAATTAAAATGTAATTTAACTGACGTTTATATTGGATTCATAAAAACATAAAAAATATAACACAACAACAACAACAACATGAGAGAAAAATCATGCACAACAACAGAAAAATGTTGTTGAACAAAACCAACAACAACTACAACAGGAAAAGGAACATACCATACTTAATATAGCACTAGCACTTTAATGGAATATTGAAAACTATGATTATTTAAGAATAACGCTGATAGTGACAAAATAAAGAGCTATTTATGAATGAATGTTACCATTAATAATATGCTAAAAACCAAGCAAACAATTAAGTGTTTTGTTAAGAATATCCCAGTGAAGAAAAATTTTAAAAGAAGTAGAAGTTCATAAATTGATTTAAAAACTAGCAATAGTGCTATTGTCGTTTATATCCTTCTTCATGATATATTTATTAAAAAAAATGTAAGTCCGACAATTATGAAAAATCAGTTTTTTGTTGTTTTTTTTTTAACTCACGATTTAAAAAACGATTAAGAACTATGCTAGACCTAGTAACTGTATTATAAACATATTATTATATTGAGTTATTATTTGTATATATAAAATAACATCTAATAACGAAATACCCTGTGCATTCCTTTACATACACACACTAATGTATGCTATCATAAATAGTAATTAAATGACGATGTATTCACATCATTGATTAATTAATGCTTTTATATATCATACACACACACACACTTTTTCACCTAGAATTCTCATTTGAAGTTCGTTCAACACTTCTTCTGTCGTTATAGTCATTCTTAATTGAATTTGTGAACGAAATTGAAAAATGTGAAACAAAGACAAAGAACAATATTATTTCTTACTTCGTGCTATTTAAACAGACAAATTTATTTCTAATTAACTTATAAGAGTTTTTTTTTTGCTGAGTTTAAAACCATCCAGATAATTTAAGTTATTTTTAAATTTATAGAACTCTTAAGGCATACAATATTTTCATTTAAATTTTTTTTTCATATAGAGCATTAATCCTGGCCTAGTTGATACCGATTTCCTAAGTGTTTTTTCTGAATCGGTGGCTGATTTGCCGAAATTAAGTGCTGAAGATGTTGCCCATGCTGTATATTATGCCTTGGAAACCCCTAATCATGTTCAGGTGGAGGATATAACATTGCAAGCTATGAGACGTCATGGCGTAGATAATGATTGATATACATATGTTATGAACAAAAGGAAAAGTTTTAACAACTTTATATATTATCATTAACTAATAGAAACATTCAATAACTAAGTAAATAACTTTAACAATTTTTAAATGAAATATTTTTATCAATTACAAATTTTATAAAATATAATTTTTAAGTATATCTTATTTTTTAAATACATAATAATAACTTTTATTCAACTTTGTCCAATTAGAATTGTTGTTTTGAATTTAATGTTCGTTTTATTTAAATTACTTCGAATTAGCAATTATGTTATTGTTCTACTCACCACTAGATGGCGTTTATAATATTTAGGAAAAGATGCCAGATCCTTTAAAATGAAATTTTACTCCAAATGATTAAATAAAAATTTATTGGTTATGTTTTAAATTTTTGAGATATTTAGGACAAATATGATGAGAATTTGTGTTCAGTGTTTTAAAGTTCCACTAAAAGACAAAGGTTATTTTTTTGTATTTTACAAATCAAAATAAGTATGTATTTAAAAGGTTTAAAATCAAATATCAACTGTTATGATTTTTAGATTAAAATCGATGAAATGTGCACGTATTTGTATTTTATGAAGAATAGATGCTTAACTATGTTGGCTGATGTTTTCTTGTTTAAGATTTTGTTTTTCTGCATTTCAATTTATATTTTTTTATTGTACAAAATTCGCTAATAAAGGATTACTATCCACTAAATATGGAAAAAGATTAGTAGATAATGGACTTTTTTTGCAATTCTTCATGAATAGCGTTGAAAAAAAAAAAATAAAAATTTAAAAAATTTCCGTCATGTACAAGTTCATACATTTTATGAACTTTTAATATTCTGAATGAAAATGGTTTGGGAAAAAAAGTCATGTTCGATTCATAAAATATATTACAAAATTCATTAAAGTTATGTATTATTTTTTTCTATGTATGTACATGCAGCGAAAACAGTGAAGTCATTTCATTTTGCGGCGAATTCATGAAATTTCTTATATATGTAGTTTGACAGTGTCGGTTTGAGAGAGATTTTTTTTATATGGAGTTTGACAACTTCGGGCAAAATTTCCATGGACAAAAAACAATCAGCTGTTGAAATGACCTCACCTTATTAGTTTCGCCATGATTGTAAAAACACGCTCAAGGCGAATTCAGATAAGGTGGTGTTATTCAATCAGCTGATTATTTTTTTCTTAATTCGCCTGGTTTATGTAGCTGTCAAAATTTGTTATTGTTTACATTTTTATATTTAAAAATTTCCGTTTAACGGAGAAAAACTTCGTTAATATTTTGAATTATTTATGTAAAAAATCTAAAAATACCAAGCATCTCATAAACAAATATCATTTTATTTAAATAATGGCATAGTTGGTATGTATACAAATATGTTATTTAAGAAAAATATTTTTTTTTTTCTATTAAATGTTAACATATTACACAATATAGTTTTATATTTTATATTAAAATTGTGTAGATAACGTGATTAACTAAAAAAATCTCTTCCGGAACACTTTATATAAAGAAACACATATGAAGAATTTAGCCGAACAGTGGCAGCTTACTTTTACATATGGCTCAATTTTGAAATCTATTAAACGTTAACAAATTAAACAATATTGTTTTATATATACACTATGTAGATAAAGAGATTAACTAAAAAAATCTGTTCCGGAACGCTTTATATAACAAAACCCATATGAAGTATTTATCCGTCCGGCGGCTGCTACATTACGGCCAAATATTGAAAATTACTCCGCCGGAGTAGAATTATCCATTCGCAAGAAATATTCATTCATTCGTAATATAATATTTTCATGAATATGAACTTTTTTATGTTTATTTTTCACAAAAAATTAAGTTTTACTTAACTTCAGACACTCAATTAAAAATTTTGCAAATTAATCTGCCGGAATAGAATTTTTCGTTTGAAACAAACATTATTTAATTCAGAATATATTTTCCTCACAAATTTTAATATTTTTATCTTTATTTTTCAATAAAATATAAACATTTTACAAAAATTTTTCATCAAATGAATTCGCCGTACTTATGGTTTTTGACATCTACGTAAACCAAATGCAAAAACAAAATACATGTAAAATGTTGTTGTTGCAGAACTGCCACCACCTTATCTGAATTCGCCTTGAACACGCTCATTTTTCGCCATGTTCTATTACCCCGTGTCTATAATAGACAAATATTTATCACGGCACTTGACAAAACGTCGGCAGAAAAATTGTCAGTTTTTTGTTTATGTTAATGCATAGGGGTAACAAAATGATGATTTTATCACGACAACTCACAGATGATTTTATTGAAATAATGCTTAACTATAATTCGTCGGCTTAACTTTTCTGTGGTTTGTCGACTGCGGTTCGAATTGTAATAATGTTATTATACTTCTATTTTTTATTTTTTTCGCATTTCATTCCTTCGTGTGTTACCAGATTTACCTAGGAATAAATGCAATAGTCTTAAGTCGACTTTTTAAGCAAATATTGATGATAAAATTTCATTTTTCTGGCAATATTTCATGTGAAGAATGAAATGAGCCATTACAGGGTGTTCTGAATACGTAATATGTATTCAGTACACCCTGTAATGGCCATGATGGGAGTCAATCCAAAGTGTTTTAATACAGAGGACTCATTAGACCAGCTGATTATTTTTTCAAAACAACAACAACAGGCAAATTATGTTATAAAGCTGTCAAAATTTTCATATTACAAAAACAACAGGCAAATTTTGACAGCTTAATGCAGCAAAACAAAAACAATTGCCTGTGGTTTTTGTAGATGTTTGATGTATAACGAATAGTGTCGCCACTTTATTAATACACTTTGTGCTGTCGTGTCTTCTTTTTCAATAATATTCGTGGTTTTTTAAAGAAAAAAAAAAAACGGGAGAATTAGTGAAAAAATTAATAAAGGCAAATCTATTTTTTGTATAAATTATTGCAAATTTTCAACACTTGGCTGAAAATTTATAAATTTCTATTTTAATATTTAATAATATTAGGTAAGCAAATTATCAGCAATTAAAATTGTGTCAAAAAACAAAGAAACTAATAAATTTCTAGGGAACAATAAGAAAAATTAAAAAGAAAGAAACACGCATATACGCTGACTGGCTGGCTGACTGACTGGTTCGTTGGCAGCAGACAAATAGACAGTAGTGATGGTGGTGGTGTGATTAGTATCTTAATGATTGGTCAAAAATATTAAAAACCAAGTGAAAATCTGCCGGATATAAAAAAGGAGTTTAGTTTAATTAATCTTGACCCCTCCTTGTACTATTGTCCAAAGGTTTTATTAATTAGAGTCTAAAGTGCAAAAGTCAATGTATGATGAAACAATATTTACATATTTATTTTAACATATTCCCCCGGAATTTAAAGCTATTAATACACATTTGTATAAAAGAAAAACAAAAAACTAGTACACCATAATGGTGTATTTGTGTCAAGGTTTCGTTTCGTTGTCTTTCTAGTCGATTGGGTTTATTGGCTTGGCTCTACAATCTAGTTTAGCATAAACCTCCTACTTTTTCTTAGTACTCGATCTCTTATCTTCAAAAATGGGTCGTTCGTTCGTTCAATCAACTTCCTGACCACCACTACCGCACAATTACATTTAGTATTTGCCTTTCGGTGATGATTTATATAAACTCATTTGTAATGAATTGTTGCATAGAATATTCCTTTCTACTTTAGCTTTTATTAAATTGTTACGTTTTGGAGATGTCATAATTTTCATCATTGTTCACTGCCTAATTTCTCTTTTTTTATATTTCTTCTTTTATTGTCTTTTTTCTTTTTAGCTTAGTAAGCAGCAAAAAATAACAACAGCCAACGCCGCTGCCGCACTTGTACATTCGTTACCTACAAATCCATTAAAACTGCTCCCCGCTCCCGTTTTCTTTCTTTTAAATTTGTTTTTGTAAAATAAAAGCACATAAAAACCACAACATACAAAATGTTCATCTGGGATTGGTTCACTGGTGTTTTAGGATACTTGGGTAAGTAGCAAGCAACTGGGCCAAGAATACCAAGCAAATACATATTTAATTTTGGCAAATATTAGTTTGTTAGTTTAATTTTGCATTAATTATTATCATGGCCGTTGCCAACAAAGCATTAATGAGTAAAAAGAATATCAACAAAATTTTACCAACAAACAACGTCGTCGCAACATGTGTTGTTAACGTTGTTAAGAAGAATACATATGCGTTTGTATGTAAAACTGTTGGCTATTTAAACTATTGACATTTGAGTCTTTAACTTAAGCTTTTTACAAAGAAGAGTTTGTTCACCAAGATGTTGGTATTAATGATTTATCTCTATAGACTTTGGGTATTATTGTAATGTAAAATAACTAAAAATAAATTTTTTAGAAATTAATTTAAATAGAAAAACTTGTGTAAATATCAAGTTTCTTTATCTTAATATCTTTTTTCGGATTTTGTGAGTTATATTGTTAAGGGATGTTTTAGAGGAAACATTTGAAATTAACATCTGTTTTGTATAAATAAATTCCTATTGGATTTTAGAGAAATGGGAGAATTACTTGACTGTGATGAAGTCATCCTATTACTACTTTTCCAACGAAGATCAGAAACAGTGTCACAAACCTTTTTTAATCGGGTTTCATTTAGTTAAGTTCCCACAACGAAATCATTTTTTTAATGATTTTTCTAAAATGGATTTTATTGAAGAAATGGGTTTTTAGTTGCGCTTTTCCAATTTTTTTATGTTTTTTGTACGTCCTAACCTGGCAATTATGAATTATTTTGCACTAGTTTGGACAAGTCAAGTCTGCTTTCATTTTAAAGCAGAGAAAGGTCATGCAAGCCTATAAAAAAAATCATTGTAATCAAGCATAATATTTACATATTTTAAATTACATAGAATTGAACTAAAATATAAAATTGTAAAATTGCAGGTTTATGGAAGAAATCTGGTAAATTATTGTTCCTTGGTTTGGATAATGCTGGTAAAACAACATTGTTGCACATGCTCAAAGATGATAAATTAGCCCAACATGTCCCAACTTTGCATCCCAGTAAGTATAATACAACTTATACTAAATTTTAAACTTTTTTAAAAAAGAAAAATTATAATTGAAACTATTTTAAATAATTTATGTATTTCGTTTTAAGCTTTGTTTACTAATCAATTCTTTGTTTTATTTATTTATCTATTTCTCCCTTTAGCATCGGAAGAATTATCTATTGGCAATATGCGTTTCACTACATTCGATTTGGGCGGTCACACTCAAGGTGAGTTTGTTTTCTCTCTATTTCAATTTTCTAATTACTTTACATGCGATTTGTTATTTATATATGTACGTCTCAGCGTAAACAATAAATGCATATAAAACAACTTTAAAGTTGATATACGGGAACAACTAGTACAAGTGCATGTTAAAAATTAAATAAATATGTATTTATTAAATGACAGTGCATTTCAAGTCTAGTTGAATAGCAAAAAATACTCATTCATGCTCATATAAAATTATCTTCAATTGCAATTGATTGTTGAGAAAAATGTTTTTGTTCTGATAAGAAAACTACACCATTTATATGAGTTATGAGAAAGAAATTTAAAAGTTTTTAAAATCTCGGGAAGATTTAAAATATTTAAGGAATTTAATTGATAATCTTTAATGATCTTTTTTTTGTTCTTTTATTTATCTTTTAGCACGTCGTGTGTGGAAAGATTATTTCCCCGCCGTAGATGCTATCGTTTTCTTGATAGATGCCTGGGATCGTGGTCGTTTCCAAGAAAGTAAAAATGAATTAGATTCCCTTCTCACAGATGAGGCCTTGTCAAATTGTCCTGTACTGATTTTGGGTAACAAAATCGATAAGCCTGGTGCTGCCAGCGAAGATGAACTTAGAAATGTTTTTGGTCTCTATCAATTAACCACCGGCAAGGTAAGTTTCAGTTAACATATAATTTTGTTAGTTAGCTTAGTGCGTAGTTAAATTAAAATTTTGAAAATTGTGATTAAAATTCAATACAGCGATTACGTATAGCGTACATAATTGCTATTATTTTGCAGGGAAAAAAATTGTAAGTTCATTTTTATAAATATTAAATAAAATTGAGTACATAACACCGTCCGACAAAAAGAGAAAAAATTCGTTAGACACGAACCGGTTGATATACGTCTGTAACTATAAATTTAATGGAGAAAAACTTTACTTTTTTTAAAAAACATTTTAAAATGTTTCTACTGATCAAACATGTCAAATATGATGTCAAGCAAACAAGAAGATTTGGAAAATATTTTGTATTATTTTTATTTCATACTGTCAGGATAAAAAGATGTCAAAAATGTCTTTTAAAATTTGTATCCTTTAATATCTATTTAGGTTTTCAATATTATTTTTTCAACAAAATTTTGAAAGATATTCTTTTGATTTTTGATAAAATAAAAATAACACAAAATATTTTACAACTTTTCTCGTTCGCTTGACATCAAATTTGGCATGGTTTGATCAGTAAAAATATTTTAAAATATTTTTTGAAAAATGTACTTCCAAAATGTCTTTGTTCTAATTTTCTATTTACTAATTTAAATACTTTATTTTATTTACAGGGTAAAGTAGCACGTTCCGATTTACCCGGTCGTCCCTTGGAATTGTTCATGTGCTCGGTACTGAAAAGACAAGGTTATGGCGAAGGTTTCCGTTGGTTAGCGCAGTATATTGATTAAGTTGTGTAGTAGTTTGGTTGTTTAAAAATCGAATTGTGGTGGCAAAACAACAACAATAACAAAAGAAGAATAATTTCTATTAATTTTTACATCAATTAAGAAGCATTATACAATATTTGTAACTGCAGCAGCCATTGTTTTCCTCCTTCTCATAACAGACAACAAGAAGCAAACAAACCGACACACTACATCTAAATCCAAGAAGACACACTATTCATTCACAAACAAGATGAAATCAACAACAACAAATAAACAAACAACAACAAAATACAAAAAACCGTAAAGATAATAATAAAACGTAATAATAAATAATAACAATAAAATAAAAAATTGAAAAATATCTATAAAATTTATAAAAATAAAAACAATTTACTGGGAAGAAGGCGCAATTTTAACTTTATAAAAAGCAAGAAAAGAAATATAAATTTTAAATTGACATTTTTTCCAACGCATTATTTATTAGAGAGAGAAGTGCTTTTTTAAAACGTTTCTTCATTTTTTTTTTCGTTTTTATCATAAAAAATAAATAATGCATCATAGATTCCATACAACACTTTAAATATACTCTTGTGATGTCTACACAAACAAATGTAAAGGATTTGATATCCATTGCACTTTATGATTTTATTTCCTTTTTCCAATTTGTAACTAGTTGCAACCTCACATACATTCTAGCTTCTATTTAATATTATAAATATTTCTTTTGTTTTAGTTTCCTATTTTATTTCTCTGTTTCATTCATAAGTTTTATTAATTTTATTTAGCTTAAATTTTTTGGTCTTGTAAAATATTCTAATTAATGATGATTCTCTGTGCAAAACAACAAAAACTTAAGAAAAGAAAAATAATATCCTAAATAAAAAGAAAATATCTCCTTTTTTATATTATTGCTTTTTTTATTTTTTAATGTAAATTTAACATAATAACAAAGGTATTATGTTTGTAAAATTTTGTACCAAATTTTCTAGCGATTCGTTAAAAAAGTAAGTTTTTGGGGATTAATATGTTTTCTTATAATTTTTTGATAATTTTTAATAAAAAATCTAACTTTTAGTGAAAATTTAATTTTTTGTAAAATGTTAGATTTTTTAGATAAATAGATAGATAGATGATAGATAGATAGATAGATAGATAGATAGATAGATAGATAGATAGATAAAACAATTCCATTCATTTAGAAAACAGCGTTTTGATTGATCAACGCAAAAGTTCATTCCTTCCCATATACAATGATTTTATGCCTAAAAGGTGTGAGTGAACCGTTGGATTAAAGCATTTTTTTTCTAACGAACTCAATTATCCATTTTGATTACACACAATCGTAAAGCATTGAAACAAAAATCGCTTCTTTTTCTTACGATTCTATTATTTTTGTCAGAATAGCGGTGATTTTTTTCTTTATAATAGTTTCAAATTTAGATAATCGAAACTCTATTTTTTTGTCTAAACTGAAAAAAACATCGATCCCAAGAATGAGTAAATCGTTTGTTATACAACCAAACTTCAAGATTCATATTTGTTCCAACTAAATGTCATTATTTAAAAAATAACGCACTAATATGCATATTAGAAGAAAAAATTCAATTTTAAATTAAATTATTTGTTTTTATTGTTGTAGTTAATATTAGTCATAAATGTAGGTATATTTAATGATAATCAAATCAATATGTTGCATTAACTTTTTGTTACTTATTTAAGGGTCAAAAATGAATACAAGAGTTAAAATAAAAACAAAAAAACTATATCCAGAATAAGAATCCCCAACATAGCATGCAAAGTAATAAGATTGGCATGGGTGGGTGTTTCAAAGCGGTAAATTAATCATAAAGCAAAAAAGGGGTTTCCTGTTCTAAAATACTTCAAGGTAAACAAACAAACAATAAAAGAAATTAAAAGTTATTCAAAAGGTCAACTAAAAAATTAAAAAAAAAAAAATGGGAAATAATAAATTCAAGAAGTTTTTCTCTAAAGTCTAAAATACAATCTAAATTTAGCAGATGATATACAACATACTACAGACATAAATAGTAACCCTAGCTGATGGTGTTGTATGGTGAAAGAATTAAATGATATTTTTAATTAATTGCGTAATTGTTAACAACTGCTAATAGGTTTATGTTATAGTTGTAGATTAAAAATAAAATGTTAACTATTTTCTATAAGACCTAAATGTAGTAGACGCCAATTGAGATATTTAACCACAGAGTTATTACTCGTTTCTGGCTCCAGCTCCTCTCCAACTTGTACGATTTCAGTTAGTTGTTGATTATCTTGATTAGAAGAAGTATTTGAATGATCGTCCGATTGTTTGCCTCTACTACATCGCCACCAATGTGGCGGCCATCATGAGTTTGATGACATATGGCCACCCATACGTCGCTTCTTTTTCTTTTTGGCAGTTAAACTCTCTTGGCCACTGTCGGTATTCGAGGAACAGGAATCGTCATCGCTCTTATTTCCCTCGTTTTCAGTGTCGCTGCCCGATGATGAGGAGCTCGATGAAGATGAGCTAGAATTGCTGGAACTATCGGAGGCAAAGCCCGTACTTTGATCGATATTAATACTTTCGGCAACTTTCGCCAATTCAGGTTCTTTTTCGCGTAATACGCGCAACCATTTACGGGACAACTTGGGACGACCTCTTACAGTTTTGTGCCATACAATGGGAAAATTGGTGCGACTGCAAAAGTTTTGCGTAATTGCTATAGTATCATCCAAATTCAAGACAACATGCCACCAGCCTCCGGGTACGAAGACAGTTTCTCCCGGCTTTTGTAGAATCTCCAGAGGGGCATATTCCTTAGGCCAATCCAATTGCTTAGTACGAGGATAGACGGTACTAAACCAGGTAATAGCTTCATCTCTTTGTTTGCCTCCCAAATTGGAGGGCACCTTCAGCAATTCTTTTGGTGTTTGGGTAGGAAATAGGCACCAACGTTTGTGGCCGCTGATTAATGCGTTCCAAGCACTGGTACCCAAAGGATCAATATGTATACCAGTACCCGATCTGGCGGGACCCATTACGAACCAACGGTATGGTGGGCGTCGTTCTTCGCCACAATACTTGAACAAATCATCGCGAAAATATTGTGGCACCACATAGTCCTCCAACAATTTACGCCGGCGATGATGTTCGCCAAAGCTACTGTCAAATATATACAGGGGACTGTCATCCTTTGTAGTCTTCATATACTCTATATAATACTTCATTTTCATTTTAACACTATAGCCCTCATTATCTTCACCGCATTTGAATTTTTGATTGCGATATTTTTTTACCAAACGTGGTAGAGTCCACTTTTCCAGAGCTTGCCATCCTTGCTGGCATCCCTCAATCACCACCGGCAAGTAGGGCTCCTCAAATCGTTTAATAAATTCTTTACAGCTAACCTCATGTTCTCTAATACGTTCAACATTGTCTTTGACCTGACAGAAGGGTTCAAAGCGTTCGGCATAGCGTAAGGCCGTCCAACCTTCTTTGTCTAATTCAGGTCTAGCTTTACGTTTTACTTCACGTGTACGTTTGCGTGAACGTTTGGGCAACTTAAATTCCTCACTCATTTTCTTAGCGTATGCAATTTATTGGAGATGGTATTAAATAAATAAATTATTACGATTTTTTGCTGAAAAGATAATTAACAATAATTTCGCGATATTTCTATTCTTTTTTCCCAACCAGATGCTTTTTTTGGTGCCGTTATAAAATGCACGTACGTTCTGTCAAAATGTGTGTGTGTTTTCATCAATGACTCGCATATGGTTGGCAATTAAAAGTGTTGTCAATGAAGCGTGTTTTCGTTATTTTTTGAATTTATTTAAAAATGAATTATAGAAAAACTAATTTTAATAAATAGAACAAAAGAAGAATTGCCTTTGATTTTTTGACAACTTTTATAATTTATTTTACAGGAATTTCAATTATGTTCAAATTTAAATAGAATTGAAAAACTGAAGTGATTGCAGAAAACACTTTTATTTAGAAATAGGCAAAAAAATATATGCTTTCATCTGGAGTTAAGAGTTATTTAAAGATTTATAATATTATCTTAAATATGCATATATAATATATCTATTAAAATTTTATATATCAAACAAAGCTTGGAAAGAAAGAATTCTATTTGAAATTAATTCCCTTATATTTTTAATTCGGCTTTAAATTTGTGAACGTACCATTCTTTAAAATCATTGTTTGAATTTAAATTCTAAAGCTGAATTCCTTGGTTTTATATTCCATTGAATTAATTCCTAAGAGAATTCATTCTTTATAGGAATGAATTCAATTGAATGATCATTCATATTTGTTTAGTTCCTTCCATTACAAATTGAATGAAAGAAAAAAATTTAATTCAATTTTTAATATACAGAATGCTTTTGAATTATAAAACAAAACTTTCATTTAATCTATTTCAAATTGAATGGTTGAAAAATGTTTAAATTCAATTTGTAATAGATTGAATTCAAATAAAATTTATATCATTCAGAGAGAATTTAAAAATCAATAGGAATTGTTGAAATTTATTTTAATTCAATTTGTAACAAACAAAATTAATTCATTCAGAAGGAATTTAACATTCTATAGGAATTAATTCATTAGAGAATTAATTCAACTACATCGAAAACTTTAAGAATTAATTCTAGGAATTAAATCAAAGGGAATGAGTTTGAAGAATTGTTAATTCTTTAAAATATAACTCAATTTCAAAAAAATAATTAGGGAATGAATTATTTTAGAGCTTTGATATCAAAGACTTCTAAAAAGCTTTAAAATACTTTATAACACTAATCCGTTGAGTGTCAATTCGATCAAGTGTGAATTTTAGTTGGTATTTTTTACAAATTTAAGATTTTCTTTATAATTTACTGATATAAACACAACATATGTATAAACTATAGAATCGAATAGAAGACGGAATTTGACACATCATTTGAAATTTTCAACTGATATATATATGGACGTTATAATAAATTGTATTATTGTATGTTTTAAAAGTACTATCCACGGAAAAAAATTACAAAAATTGTAGCCGTAAAGAAATTCCAGATATTCTATGGTCTAAACTTCCCAACGGTTATAATTAAATTTTATTATTATTGATTTTTACGATTTTTCTAACTATTTTTTTAAAGATTGGCAACGCTGACAAAACTTTCATCATGTGACGTTTTAGAAAATTGACAGGCAAAGAAAAATGATAACACAGCTTGGAAAAGGTAAACTCATCACAATAATAAATTTTAAGGAATTTACCAATAAATCCTCACAAATTTTTAGATATTTACAACGCTCAATATCGCGTACTAGACCACAGAGTATTTGTCAATGGAGAAATAGAAGCATTTCTTAATAATTTTGAAACACAGCGCAACGATTCCGAAATAGAGTCACTCTTTAAAGTAACCGAGACAGTGGGTGCACTCAAATACGAAATTTCCGATAAATGCATTAATTTGGGATCTGCAAATTTGACTGAAATTTCTACTGAACTTAAAAGTTTATTGGAAAAAGTTGATAATTTAGTAAATGATTTACAAAAACCACAAGAGGTAAGTGGAAAAAATATATTTTTGTAGGTATTTATAATGTTGGTATACGTATGTATGTACAAAACTTTCATCATGTATGTATTTGCAGCCCAGTGAAACCTTAAAAGAAGCACGTTTGGAAAGAAGCCGTCGTAAGGAAGACATAAATAAACAAATAGAACATAATTATCAACGTGTGGAGAATTCTTTTGCTGTTAAGGAAGAAGAAATTGCCGAATTGTATTCAGACTTGCAATTGAAACTTAATATACCCAAGTAAATTGCTTAAAATGGACTCTATTACTACCATTAAAGACAGTCGCATTAAGGTTAAAGCCTCCAAAACCCTTATTGATTTACTCGAACAGAATAAAATACATTTAAATGAAGTACCCGAAAATATAAGCAAATTTCTCCTGAAACAATCCATACAACTGTCCTCAAAAGTGGAAATTTTAAAGGAAACTAATACACAAAAAACCCCTGCTATTAATGTCAATCTTTTGAGAGAATTACTTAAAGAAGACATATCAGACAACACACCTAAGTCCAAGGAGGATAAAACTACAAACAAAAGCAAAACAACAAAAACAAATGATGTACTGCATTTACATTTAAGCGATTTACGTTGGTTAAGTAATCTTCTGTCCACTCTACGTAAAGAACAGGGTTTAGATATTTATTTAAACGATGTCTTAGAAACCTGTCAATTGGAATTACCACAAAATGAAATAATTAAGAGAAATCCTGAATTAGAGGCACGCTGTCAAAGACTGCGTGAGGAGCAACAGAATTTGGAATATCGTAAAATGACCAAAAATGTAGATGCAGTGCTTAAGCACTATCCCGAGGATACAGTCGCCTATCAAAGTAAGTATTTTTTATATTTGATTAGAAGCAAATGTATTAATTTGTTAATTTTCCAGTCAAAGCCATCAATAGTCAAATTATAGCAGTACTACAGTTTATTTTCTCAGTAGCAGCAGGTTTTGCTTTTGGATTTCTAGGCATTAATCTTATCATTGGCAATATGGAATTTGGTTTACGTTTATTATTAGGCATTATGTGTGCTTTAATTATTGCCTTGGCTGAAATTTACTTCTTAGCCAAAAAACTTAATGAATACGACAACACCGTGGATACTGTAAACAAGGCCATGAAGAAAACTTTGCCGGCAAATAAAAAAATACATGCTGACTAGAGTGGGGGGACAATAAGATTTATCTTATATGCATACATATATAATTTAAAAAATATCAATTTAAAGTTGATATACTGTATTTTAATTATTAGTAGTATATATTATTTTCCTTAAATTCCTTATATTAAATATTATTATAACCTTGTTTCATACTATTGAAAAATCATAAGCGTGGTTATTCGCATATAAATCAATTTTAGTAAAAAAACAATAGCCAAAATATTTCTAAAATTTGAAGAAAAAAAATATTAAAATAAGTATACAAGCCAATATTGGCAATAATTCCAGAATGATTTCGATTCCGTAGTTACCATTTCGTTCGAATCTGTTGAAGAACCCGTAGATTATGTTTTCGTAGATTATGTTTGATTAAAGCTTTTTCGTAGATCACTGGAATATGGAGGCTACCTAGCAGAAATCAAAGATCGGTTTCAAGCTAATTTAAAAGTTGTCATTCCTTGCTTCATCGAATATTATAATTTGATGAAATGGAAAGATGAATGTTGTGAAATCAAGTCAAAAGGTTTTCAGGGGTCAATTGGTACAATATGCAAAATACATATTTAGCTATATAGTAGGGACAAACTTAATGACTTTTCTTACCTGGTCACTTAACAGCTTTCAGTTAGATTAATTTCCGTAATGATAGACATGAAATTTTGAACTAACACTTATTTATTTTTTTAACATTTACAACACATTTATTAAACAGGCCATTTGTTCTTTTATTTACATTTTAATTTGGAAATTTTATTTTCATTATTATTTTTATATTTTTGCATACAACATTAATAGGACTACTTATTGCAGTTATCGACTGTATTTAAGAAAAATAACACAAATCATTCTAGCAGACGTATAATTGCAACACCAATGTATTATTTATAACCAATACACTTTAAACCATGATAAAAATATCATATTTTTATCATGCTTTAAACTATATTTATTAAACTTTTTGCATTCAATTTAACACTTTATTAATTTTCATTAAATATAACTTAAGCTTAGCTAACTAATAAAACCGCGAACAATTTGACATTTTATTGACAATTTAAATGCAGACAGAGATGTTAAAATAAAGTGAATTGCTAAAACAGAGATGGTATGAAATGTAACAGAAAAGTTACATTCAAATATCGTGGTCACTTTAAAATGTCAAGTAGTATTGTTTTTAATGAGGGAAGCAAACTTGATGTAATAAAAGTACATTAGGAAAGGAAGTGTAGAGTAGAGGTAAAACGGAAATAGGAGCTGAAATGACAGAATTGCTTATCGTTCTGAAATACATAAGTTAAAATTCAAGAATTGAACAGATTGAAGTGAATAAATAATTTTTCAAAACTACAAAGGAAATTGTGATTGTACAAATTACAACTGAGTACAAAGAACATATAGGACATATATTTAGGATGAACATTTTTCAATAATCTTGAAAATTGACAGCAAAATTTCAGGTGATTTTGAAGATTTTCTTTTTGTTCACTGAATTTTTATTTTCACACAATTTTTTATTTCGAAAAGCTTTTCTTTTACAAAAAATATGTGTAAATTATTTATCGCTTACTTATTACATCTAAAAAGGTTTATTTATCAAAAAAATCTCTAGAATATCTGACAATCGCACAATTATACCATCTTTATGAAGGCTGAGATGCCAGACACTAAGGAATTATAAAAGGATGGATAATAATTTGGAAATCTAAAAAAAATATTTTTGTAAATATATTTTAAAATCTTCGTATATTTTGACAACCTAAATTACTGTGTTATCGCACATATTTAGTTAAATCTTTTTAAAAAATAATAACATTCAGTTTCACTAAGTAATTAGCCTAAAAAAGATAGCATTAATTAATAACCACAATATAAGGAATTCTAGATCATATTCAGCTTCGAATTAATTAATTTTTTATTCATATCGTATTTTATGGTTAGATTGTCTAATGATTTAATAATTAGATTCTAATTAATAACCAAATTTTCAGAAATAAAAAATTTATCAAAATATTTATAAAACTCGATTAATCTTACGGCTTTCTGGAATTTGGGGTTTAAAAACCGGACAATTTTTGAAATATCTGGCAGCCTGGCAAATAAGACAAAGCAAAATACAAGGCGAATTCAGATAAGGTGGTGGCAGTTCGGCAACATCAAAATTTTCATTGTAATTTGTTTTTGCATTTGGTACGCACTGATGTCAAAAACAATAATAACGTCGAATTCATTTAATGAAAATATTTTGTGAAATTTTTATATTTTATAAAAAACTAGCTATACCCAGTGTGCTTTGCTACCCTAAAAGCAATGTAAATAAAAAACACTTTACGATTTTGAAAATTCTAACTATGATAGCTTTCCAGATATACATTTTTTAGATATTGGGGATGCCACGCAAATTATTTTTTCCAAACGTTAATTTAGATTTTAATGTAAGCTATGAAAAAATATAATAATATTATAGTTTCCCAGAAATTTTGTATTTAATTCATATGGGAAATGCCAAGGTTGCATTCAAAGTAAATTAATAAAGTAGCATCACTTGAACAGCTGACTATTTTTTTTAAACTAGATAAATGTAGCAAGTTGTCAAAGTTTGTTTTGAAAATTGTTAACATTGTTTTGCTATTTGTTAAAATTTGTGAAAAGTTGAAAAAGTGAATTAAAAGTGGTTTTAAAGTAGTTTAAAAGTGTAATAAATTGTATAATATATAATAATATAATTAAATCGTTAATACTTTTAACTTAAGAGTAATGTTTATTATTTATGTTTTGTACACATTGTTGTTCAGGGACACAATCTTAAATTATTCCAAAAACAAAATACATGTGGTTGTTGTAGATGTTGTTGTACAACAGGAAATGTCGCTACTTTATTAATATACTTTGGTTGCATTGAAAGTCCGCCAATTTTTCTTTAAATGTTCACATGAATGTAAAATTTTTTCTTGTAAAATTTGAATTTTCTAGCTCTAATAGTTTTTCAGATACACATAAAAATATTAAAATTTGTGAATGGAATAATGTTTGTTCCAAATGAAAAATTCTACTCCGGCAGATTGATTTGAAAAACTTAAGTTTGTGACTCTAAAATTATGTAAAATTAATATTATTTTTTAAAATAAACATAAAAATTTAAAAATTTATGGAAAAATTATATTCCGAATAAAAGAATTATCTATCCCGGATGAGTTATTTTTAAGATTTGTACGTTGTAGTCAGCTGCCGCCGGACGGGTAATTACCGCATACGGGTTTTGTAATAAAAAGCGTTCTAGAACAAAATTTTGTTAATTAATCACGTTATCTACACAGTGTACATATAAATCAATTTATTTAAATTTAATAGATCTCAAAATTTTACCATAACATAGAAGACATCTGCCACCGGTCGGGAAAATACCTCATATGTTTTTTTTTTTATATAAAGTATTCCGGAACAGAAATTGTTTAGTTAATCGCGTTATCTACTAAGTGTAAATATAAAATATAAAACAATGTTGTTTCATTTGTTACCATTTAATAGAAAAAAATATTATTGTTAAATAAAGTTGGTACATGCGTACCAATTATTCATTATTTTTATAAGAAAAATATTTGTTTACAAAATACTTGGCATTTTCAGATTTTTTACATAAATTATTCAAAATACTACCGAAGTTTTTTTTGTTTGTTTGTTTGTTTGCTTTTTAAGTTACTTAGTTCAACAACTAAGAATTATTTGGCCTGTAATAAAGATTATACAACGCCATCACCAATTTTAGCTAGAAAAAACTAGCTCATGTATCCAAGTAGATTGATGAGTAATGAAGTGATCCGATTCCATTAAATCGGTGTGAATAATTCAATATACATATAAAACAAGATATATACTTTGTATATATAAGTTTATATATATGTAAGTTCCATAACTATCCACATTAAAGTACTATGTCAATGGATTTTAGAAATTCAATAATGTGAGATATTTTATCCATCCCCTCGCATTCGATAAATTCAAGAAGATTGTTATGTCTACTAATTGAAGGAAAAATGCCACGTTGATTCCCATATTTACTGCATTTGAAAATGATGTGAGATGAATCCTCGGTGCAATTGCAGATTGTACAAATATCGGAAACAGAGACACCCATTCTACTCAATGTCTGACCGCAGTAAGTATGCCCGCATAAAATTCTATTAGCCATTCTTAAGTCGGAAGCCTTAAAGTAAGTTGGGTCAATGTTATAGTCCACTGTCCAAAAATTGTCAGAGGTCCTAGGGAAAAACTTACCGTAATCAACGCCCTTGGAAATCTTCAAACGGCAGTATTCTGTGCTCCATTCACCCTTTAACATGGATTCTATTACCAAAATCGCATCCTTGAGAGTCCATGGAATATGTATAGGAAGACCATTTTTGTGTGCATTCTTAGCCGCCAAATCAACGATCCCGTTTCCCTTAATCCCCCCGTGCCCGGGGATGTAGATAGAGGCGATCCTCTCGAAGTTGTCTGACATCTTGTTCAATATTCTTCCCACAATGTAATTATCAAGGTCCCGGTTCCTAAGTGCATAAATACCACTTTTAGAGTCAGTAAAAATTGCCAAACTCTTTAGCTCCTTACTAATTCCAATATCAACTGCCGTATCGATCGCCAACAATTCCGAAGTCATGGATGACAGAATTCTACGAGTATAGCCTGATTCGACTGTGTCAGAGTTTTCATGATAGGCTGCAAAACCGGTAAAGTTATCAGATACGGAACCATCAGTAAAGAATATCTCATAGTTATTATTTACCATGTCATTAAATTTTTCCAAAAATAGGCTGTTAACGATATCCATGTTGGCTTCAGCTTTCTTCCTATACATACCCTTGAAGAAGTCGAGTTGGAAAGATATATGTGCACAATTTCCCACTACTTCACTGAGATTGCCTATATCCTTGAAGATAAAGTCATATTGTCTATAGATTTCAGCTATGCCCGTATTGACACCGAGAAGACTATCAATGTATGTAGAGATAGGCAGTTTGTGTATTAACGATTTCAGGATTTCCCTTGCAGTGACAATCACAAATCTATATTTTGGGGGTAGCTCCGCAGCCATGTGGTAAAGGATATGAGTTGGAGACGACCTTAATAATCCCAGGCCTTGTCTAAGAAAAACGTTCACTTGGGTAGTTATAAAGTTTAAAGCTGTTTTACTCAGGTTTGCGAAGGAGGATACTGCATATTCGATGCGAGGTCTTATGAAAGCGCGATAAATCTGTAGAGCGCGAAGAGGAGAGACTCCTTTATTGCGATGGTTCAGGATACGGTAGAAGTTGCAAGTTCTATTTATGCTACCAAAAGTTGTCCTTATATGACTCATGGATGAGTTATTGCAAGCTATTGTTCTCCCCAGATATTTGATTGAATTAACTTCCGGAATTAAAATCGGTCCAACAGAAAGATTTAGAGTTCTAGGTCTGTTGTTAAAATGGATAGCCTTAGTTTTCTCGAAATTAAAGGATAGTTCCAAACTCAGACAAATATTAGAAAGCTCCATAAGTTTATCCAGCAATAGACATCTGGCCTTATCAAAGTTCTTGTCGATACACACAACGAAAAAATCATCTGCGAATTGGAAAAGAAATGAAGATGTATCCACTATCGAATGTAATTTTATTGTGAAGATATTAAAAAGAATTGGAGAAATTGCGCTACCTTGGGCAAGTCCCTTGTTAGTACTAACCTCCTGATCGCCAAGAACAAGCGTTCTATTTCCCAGAAAGGATCTTAGGAAGTTGACAATGTGTTCATTGAAACCAAGATTCGATAACATATCACAAAGGATTATGAAATTCGTGTTGTCGTACGCTTTGTCTATATCGAGACAAGCACCCACCACATGAAAGCCCTCATTTTTAGCTTTGTAAACTGTGTTAATGACATCATTAATACATTGAGCAGTTGATCTTTTCTTTCTAAAAGCATAGGATCTGTCAGGAATAATACCTTTTGTCTCAATATGGTCTTCAATGTGAGGTTTGATCATGGCTTCGAGACATTTGAAAATAATTGACAAAAGACAAATTGGTCTGTAATTTTGGATTTGTGAAGTGTCCCTGTTTTTCTTAGGAATAGGACAAATAATTATTCTTCTCCATTTTTCGGGAATCGTACCATTCCTCCATAAAGCGTTTATCATGTTAAATAATTTTTCCCTTTCAATTGGATTTAAATTAATGAGCATTCTGTATGATATACCATCGTCACCTTTCTGGAATTAATATAATTAGTAAAAACATCAAGAGATAAAATAGGTACGTTGTTTGAAGAAATGTTGAAATTAATAGGAACCTGAATCGGGGTAGAGGCGGGTCCTGCGATCAAATTCAAAAAATCCTTCCTTTGTTCACAAGTCCAGGAGTTATTACTATTCTTTGGTAATTGGTATTTTTTTAAGTGTGCGAGCTTCTTCCACATATCTTTAATAGAGGTAGGATGTGATAATTCCTCTAATAACATAGCGAAGGCTTCCTTTTTCTTCACCGAAATGTAATTATCAAGATTAGTACCAGCCTCTTTAAATCTTGTAAAATCTGCGAGAGATTTATTCTTATAAAATCTTGTTCTCATCAAGTTTCTGGTAGCAAAAAGTTTATTGGCCATCGAATCCCACCATTTTTTGGGTTTAAACTTGTTTTTTTCTGAGACATTTATAGTGCAAAGTCTTCGAATTTTCTCAATATCCTTCTGAAAATCGTCAATATTACCATTGATTTGTAATTTGTTCAATTCCAAGTAAAATCTGGATTTATCTAGAATGGTGTTGTTTTTCAACAAGATCGGTAAATTTAAAATATCAATTACAATAGGTAGGTGATTACTACCTGTTAATTTTGTATTGTGTACCTTCCATACGATATCCGAGTCCAATTGATTACAAAAGGAAACATCCAGCGCCGAAGGTTGGACATTTTCCGTAAAGTAAGTTGTCGAGCCATTATTAATGCAATGAAAGTTGGTATTGAACATAATGTCTTCCAAAACTTTGCCCTTATGATCCTCTTGAACAGGGTTCCAAAGGAGAGCTTTAGCGTTGAAGTCCCCGCAGATAAAAGTTAAGTTTCTGTTGTTGCGAGCGAAGAGAAAGATTTTCCTCATTTCCTGTGCAAAAACCTCTAAGGACATGCTAGGCGGGCTGTAGTTGACTATAATCGTTATATTTCTCCTTAGGTTTAGGGTAGTAATAGCTAAAGTGTCAGCATTTGTGTTGATTGGGTTAATGGTATATTTAATGTGTCTTCTTATATAAAAACCTACTCCACCAAAACCGTCAGTTCTATGTTTACCAATAAAATTAAATTCAGCAAGACTGGTACAGGAGTTATCCTGTAGCCAAGTTTCGTATAAAATAGCAATATCGATCTGGAAATTATTCATGAATAATTCCAATAATTCTTTGTTACCCTTCTTTTTCAAACTTTGGATATTAAATTGTAATAGTTTCATTTTGTAAAAATTGATTTTAAAATTTATCTTTTATGATGGATTTATTAATCCTATCAGCGTCAATATAATTCATTCCCTTATTCAAATTTTCTCTCATGTTAAGGAGGATCTTTCTTATATGATCTGGATCAAGTTTGCCACTTGTCCAATCTGTAATAATATTCGAAGTGTCTTGAGACACTTTGGTCAAAATGTTTATAGCTTTGCTATGATTATCCGAGTGATCGGGCAGATCTAATTCGTTTTGAACGGTTTTGTTATTTTTCTCATTGTTAAATGTACGTTTAGTGTTATCACTGAAGCCTTGGCGATTATATTCAAGGTTAACTGCATGTTGATTAATTATTTCCTGATGAATTCTCATAGTGTTACGCGCATTGGCTTCTTCTCTAGTTTTATTTGCGTTGATCTTGACTGCTTTCGAGTAGGGAAGAACCCTATGAATATCCCTAACGGCCTCATGGTGTCTATTGCGGTTATTTCCATCGTTTCCGGATGGTCTCAAAGGTGGAAAATCGTTTACGTCCTCTAGGATCTCAAAACGGTTAGAAAATACATTGGAGAAACGAGATCTGGCCTCCTTAATAGTAAGGTTTTCTATGGTCATTAGCTTTTTAATAGCATAAGCCTTAGTCCGAGCTGGGCAGTCCCTGTATGTCGGCGGATGTTTGTCTTTGCAGTTCACACAGCACATATCAAGGCAATTTATCTCCTCCTCATGTTGGTTAAAACACTTCTTGCAAAGCTCAAAGGTTTGCTTACAATGTTGCGCGAAATGGTTAAATCTATAGCATCTGTAGCATTGTCCAAAAGGAATGTAGTATTTCACTTTCAATTTGGTGTAACCATAATTTATTTCCCTAGGGATTTCGTTCCCCTTGAAAATAATTTTAACATTTTTTGTAGGTGTAAAAATTACCTCGCCATCTGAGTTTTTCTGTCTACGTGTGATCCTTAAAATTTTCAGTACCTCAATGGGAGAAGAAATTTCCCTCATGAATTCCTCCTCAGAAATGTCCACGGGTATATCATATACTATACCCGCTTTCGAAACAAAGTGCGCTAATATTTTCGGACTTAAACCCTTCTCTTTAATTCTTGAATCATCCATGAAGTTGTTAGCAGCAGAAAAATTTTTAAATAATATTTTGCAGCGACCGTAACCTATTTTCGAGACTTCTTCTATATGTTCTATTCTGAGGTCCATTACCAACTTGCTCACAGTTATGGCGCTTAGATATTTCCTCATACCTTTATCGTCATAGGAGTCTACATACACTATGCATGGGCCTTTGTGCCCTCTGTCATAACGATACGTCGATTCAAGAGTAGGTTTTTCCCTATTTGTATTTCCGTCCGATAAATTATCTTTATTATTCTTCGTCCGTACTGTATTTAAGGCTGAATCCGACTTACCTTCAGCTGCCATGTCCACATCCAAAACGCTCTCACCAGATCCTTGAGAATCCTGAATCTTCCTCCTCTTCTCCTGCCCATCGTCCACCTCCGGCGGGCTAAAGCCCCCGGCCAATGCCATCCTCTTCCCACCCGGCAATGTCAGGTAGGAAACCACTGATCAATATAAATGTATCCCAAAAAAAGATGATTGTATAAGATCAAAATTAAAGAAACCACAACGTGGTTTTGTTCTTTTTATTTTCCACTTTCCTCTTCAGTATGTATACTGACGCACCAATTTAATATTAAACAGTTATAACGGTACAAGACACAAACAGAAAAATACAGATTAAAATGCACGAGTAAGAGTGAAACAAACGACACACTAGACAATCCACAATAATACGTCTAAACTCTTTGAAAGTCCACACGCGAATGCGAAGTTTTTTTTGTGTTAACGTATATTTTTATATATAAAAATGTAAACAATAACATACTCTGACATCAGTGCATACCAGTCAAGTGAAGAAAAAAATAATCAGCTGATGGAATAATACCACCTTATGTGAATTTGCCTTGGCAAAATATTTGCAAAATTTTTGGGTATCAGTTCTCCCGAGAATTTCGATTGCGCAACCTCGTTGAACTTGGAGAGAAATATTGGAATCAGACGTGCAATATGGTAAGTGACCAAAATCCAAGATTTTTTGAAAAAATACAAGGAAATAGAAAATATAATTCATGAAATTTAGTTAAATTATGTGTACCCACAATAATTGTTAAAAACAAATAGGTGTGGTTATGTTAAATTATTTGCGTATTAATATTACAGAACTATTCTGTCAATTGAATGACAATGTTTCTTCTTTAATCTACAGACCATTCAACGTATTATTTACGCTTTTGGACATCGCACCTTGCCTTTGTTGGCAAACAATAGTCCTGTTAGTGCGCAAGCCATAAGAAAAATGTCGGCTTCAGTTTTGGCTACAGAATCCTCGGATAAAGGTGAGTATATTATATTATTTAAATATTAATGAAAAGATTTTTTACTGGCTAATATTTCACATTGCAGGAATGATTATTTTGAATCGTCCTAAGGCATTGAATGCCATCAATTTGGATATGGTGCGCAAAATCTATAAACACTTAAAGAAATGCGAAACCACCAAGTCTTTGATGATTATTAAGGGTACCGGCGAGAAGGCTTTCTGTGCTGGCGGTGATGTACGTGCTGTGGTCGAGTCTGGCCCCAGTGAAGAGTCAAAGAGTTTCTTCCGTGAAGAATACACCACAAATGCCTTAATTGGCAACTACACCATACCCTATATTGCACTTATCGATGGCATTACCATGGGTGGTGGTGTTGGTTTGTCTGTTCATGGCAAATATCGTGTGGCCACCGAACGTACATTATTTGCCATGCCCGAGACAGCTATTGGCCTGTTTCCCGATGTCGGTGGCTCATATTTCTTGCCACGTTTACAGGGTAAATTAGGTCTCTACTTGGGTCTTACCGGTGTTCGTCTAAAGGGCGAAGATGTTTTTAAAGCAGGTATTGCTACCCATTACTGCGAAAGTTCGAAAATAGCCGATTTGGAAACAGCTTTACTCAATTGTCCCGACGCTGATGAAGTGCCAGAAATTTTAAACAAATTTAATAATCCTTCACCAAAACCTTTTGCCTTGGAACCACATTTAGATCAAATCAATAAATGTTTTGCCGGTGAAAGTGTAGAAGAAATTATTGAAAATCTCAAGCGTGATGGCAGTGAATGGGCAACAAAAACTAAGGAGGTAAGTTATTTAAAATTTTAAACATGAACATACACACATACATGCATAAATTTCATGGGGGGTTTGACTGTAACCGTAAGTTGCCGTTTATTTATTTATAGCCACTAAAGTGAGATACATAATTTTCCATTGATTAAATTATTATTTAAATATGTACGTATGCTAAATTTTTTTGTTGTTTATAAACTATCAGCAGTAAGGTGATGTTTTTCAAATACACAAACAACATAAATGTGTTTACGTTCTACAGAAGTTTTTAATAATACAATCCATACAAAGCTTGCAAATTGTTTTTGTATGTTAGTTCTATATTATTATCCCATTTTTTCTTAGGTTTTTATTGTTTGGTTCTATTTTAAATTTGCTTTAATTTAAAAAAAATATATATTGGAATTTTCTACTGATATCAACATTATAAAAGCAAAAATAATAAAATATAAACAAAATACAGCATTTTATCATAAAATATTTTATGATTCTTTAAAATACTTATTAAAAATGATGATTAAACAAACAACATCTAACGAAAATCTGTTATATTTTCTTCTCATTATCTAAATCAACTGAGCTTATCATTTCTTAATGTACATATACAAATTGTTGCTACTTCAAATTTTATTTATTTTATTTAAAATAAATTTACTTTTAGATAACTGGCAGCAGTAAATAAATAGAAATTAGTAAGTGTTTTATACTTTTTATTTAGCCCATGATACAACTTTTACCAGGTAGAATCAGTAGGTAGAGTTGTCAATTATCTGCCTTGTTAAGACAAACAAAAAAAAGAAAAACTTGAAAATATCCAAATTAAAATCCAAATAAAAAGCAGGATTCCACACTTTATATCCTAACACTTTTCTACCTTGTTGTTGTTATATTATGATTAAGCCTTAAAAAATAATTTTTAAACTCCTTTCATTTAAAATATTGGGATATTATCTTGAGTTTTTATAAAGTTTTTAATAAACCATAAAATAGGGTTACAAATTTTAAGTTCAATTTTCGGGGTATACCGAAAATTCTAAATATGATGTTATGACTATTCACTTTTTGTATTTTTGTCACACCATGTAATTCATTTAAAAATGAATAACCACCATTTGTTAACCAACATATTTTATACATTTATTCATGTATATATTTTTTTAAATATTTTTAGGTCCTACTTAAAATGTCGCCCACCTCATTGAAGGTGACATTCCGTCAATTGGAATTGGGAGCTAAATTATCTTTGCCACAATGTCTTAATATGGAATACCGTATTGTGGTGCGTCATTTGGAGAACAGTGACTTCAAAGAAGGTGTACGCGCTCTACTCATTGACAAAGATCAAAAGCCCCAATGGAATCCCAAGACTTTAGAAGCCGTAACTGAAGAACGTGTACAATCGTTCTTTGCCAAATTGCCCGATACCGAAGAATTGAAATTGTAAATTAAAGTTTTGCTTTTAAGTTTTCTAGCAGATTATTGCTTGTTTTTTTCGATTTTTTTTGTTTAATTTCTATATGTTTTGTGGCAAACTTGCAAGTTACCAAGTAATGCTTAATATTTTATATTTGTATTGATATGCTTTTATAAACCTTTAAATAGGTTTACTATTATTTGTTATAAACATTCGAATTGTTTTTTAGTTTTGCTTATCATCATTTTTAATTGGCTTTTATTCAATCAATATTTAGTTTTATATGTTTTTGTACTTTGTCTTAAGAAATTACTAAATTATTTCTATTATTTTTATTCTTTTAACATTCTCTTTCCGCAGGACCAAATAAATTTACCCTCTGAATATCTACATACAAAATTAACCTTAAAAAAGAAATCTGAGTACCAGGATATTATGCATTTACATAATTTAAACAATACCTTTTAAACGAAATTGTATTAAATGTTGCAAAATGTGCTAAACATTTATTTTCGCCAACATTGTGGTCTTTTTCATCACGTTATTAATTAGTTTACAAATATGTATATTTAAGTAAAAACAAGTGCTAAATTTTTTTAAAATTATGTATCTACAAATCGTCTTATTTTTTTTTTTTATTTTCATAATGTGCCTTAATAAAACAAAAGTATAATTTAAATAATAATGAAATAAATACATGTAGTTTTAATTAACTCTAAAAACTGTGTCGTTATTAATTGGTTTAGACTAAATTTATTTAGCTAACTTGGTGATAATTTCAAAAACAAATAAAGATGACAAAAGAGCAAAATTTAAAATCAATACAATATATGTATGTATATATGATCTACAAACAAGAGAACATTTGTATTGTGGTTAGAACCGATTTTATTAAACTATATAACAAAATTGAATACAAACTTTACATAGACAGCCAGTTAAGTAAATTCCATCCCCATTTTCAAAAAACAATAGGATTTTAAAGTGTGCATTGTTATAATAAGATGTAGTCGTTATTGGGCATATATTATAATAAAAAATACATATTGCAAATCAAAAAAACATAACACTACTCTTATAAACTAATTTATTTGCCTTTAATACTTTCTTCAACTGTAGAATTCAATTCAAGTAATTTTTCTACATCGCTGGGCATAAAGTCAAGTTTCGATAATTCATTAGTCCATGATGAGACATCAACTCGCAGTTGTAAGCGTATTTTATCATCATCAGACATGGCGGTTGATGAACCAGATTGATTTACCAAAGCCGTAGAAGAACCTCCACCTCCCTTAAGGTTTCTCAAACGTCTTAAGGATTCCTCTGTTTTTTGCACAGAAGTTAAAACTTCATTGACCGCCAATAGATAACTTCAATACAATGTTATAAAAAATGTTAATAAGAATACGTATGTATATCATTTTAATATCGCTAATATACTTACTCTTTAGTTATTTTATTTAAAACACTGGCCAACACTTTCTTAACAACCTCTTTTGTTAACTTTTCTTCATACTCCTCGCTAAATGATTTCAAAGGCTTTAACATTTGTTCCACATAAGCCGAACAGCGGGTGGGTACATCACGATTAGTTTTACGATATAAACGTGGCAAGTCATTGACCTGTTTGACATTTTCAGGACCACATCCCAATATCAAGCTATCTATTAGTGCTTGTTGTATGGCATTTAAATGTTTGCTTAAATCGTCGTTTAAATCATCGAAGGATTTTGCTATCGAGTCTTTAACCATTAACATTTGTTGCACTTTTTGCTGGACTGCAGAAGAGACACTTAAACTTTTTATAACCAATTCCTGTTGTTGTGGCAAAATCGCAATTAATTTATGTATATCCGAATGTAACGCCACTAGTAAGTTCGTTTTCTTGTTCTGCATAGTGTTTAAACCATTCTTAGAGTTGATAACATTTAAGGCGTCATTAATCCAATGTGATAATCGTAAAATAATTTGTATGTGTAACTTATAGAATTTCGGGAAAACCTCAGGCAAATAAACACCTTCGGACCAACAACGTGTAATGGCCTGTTGGGCTCGTGTAAAAGGTTTAAGTTCGTAATGTTCTGGGGAATTGTTTAAACTATCTTCAGAAAGTATAGGCTCCAAAACGGATTCAAATTGTCCAGCGATTTCCTGTTAAGTTAATTTTATGTATTGAATTTCTCATTAAAAAAAAAACAACTAAATTCTAATTACCTGAAAACATATCTGAAAATATACCGGTAAATTCCATCTGGCTTGAAAACTTTTTGTCTGCTTATGTTGCCGGAAGGCATTGATAGTTTCTTCAGCCACCAGAATTTCCTCAATTTTATTAAGAAAATCTCGGGTACATTTGTATTTTGCATAAAATACTTCAGAATTTCCAGGTGCAAATATCGAAGACATATGAGTTTCCAAACGCATTTCAACATCAGACCAAAAACTATAGATCAAAAAATTAAATCCTCTCAATTTATCCGTGTACTGAGTTAAACGCAACAAATCAGTCATATGTAGCGAAATAAAATTCAAAACTTTACTATATATACCAGCCAAGCCTTGTGGCGTTTGTTGCAAACTATGTTCACTAATAATATCTGTCATAAAGGGAGCCACCACATCTTCTTTGAAAGCCGTTTCGGCTACTGAACAAGCATCAAGTGTTATATAAATGCGTAGACAGCGTTCTAAGGGCTCAGTAGAAGTAGAACTAGCGGACTTTAAGGACTCATTAAAAAGTAAACGTAGTTTTTGATGAACAGAACTTTCCAACTTGCGAATGTTGTTCAATTGTTCCCCATTTAAATATTCCAAGCAAAACTTTTCATTAAATTTCAATTGCACCAGCTCTAAGGCGGCTCTTTCCAAGTCAACAGATTTTATTTGATTTCCACTCAATTGATTTGCCAGCAAATCTTCTAATTTTTGGCTACTCTCATAGACTTTTTTTAAACTTTGTAAATTACGTTTCAATTCTCTTAACTGACGTTTGGTTTCCAACTTAGCGTTAATTTCATTTATATTCTCATCAATCATATTCTGAATACCAGCTATTTCATCTCGAAATCTTTCCAAGGGATTTTGTATAGTATCAATCGATTGATGCAGACCCACCAGATTTGCTGAGAGGCTAACAAAGTCAGCATAGTCTTCATTAATAAGATCGATCATAGAAGCCCTCAAGCTTTTGAGATAGAGTCCCAAATTGTCTCTTAAAAGCTCCAGGCTGGAAACATTACGATTTTTGTGCAAGAATTCATCCACAGAAAAATTGGCCTACAAAATTGTAACATGAAGCAGTTTACGTTGTCATTTTCAATTGTTTTAATTTTACCTTAAGAAATTCATTCTTGTCGAAACACAATTTCTCCCCTTTTGCCTCCAAGGAGTTGTTGAGATTATGTTCCAGCATTTTCTTCTACAAAGAAAATTTCATTAATTTTCTAATAAAAATGAACTACAATTAAAAACAAATTATTCTTTTGGCCACTTGGCATTTTTTATGATGTCAGCTGTATTTTGTTTTGATAAGTTTAGAGTTGCCACATAGTAGTAACATTTTTGCCAGTCATCAGCTGTATGGCCACACGTCAAAAATTTTGATCAAAGTAAAACAAAAGTTTCGAAAAATAAAATCAGTTCTACTTTCATTTCAAATTTTGTTATGCTAATTAAAGTTATCTGACTTAAAGCATGGCTTATATTTTGTTATAAACTGTTGTTATGTATTTGGTTTGGTTACAAATTATTTATGCGTTTTTTCCAATATTATCATCTGGTAGCACTTCTTAACGAAATCTGAGAAGTGTGCTGACAAAAATTAACTTCATCGACGGAAAATAAAAATTTTGGTGGCGGTCAAGAAAAAAATATTAAAATTTCTAAAGCTGTATGGACACACGTCAAAATTTTGATCAAAATTATGTGTTAGTATTATATACCAGTAATCATTGAAGCAAAAGAAGCATACACAAGTTCTGATCAAAATTTTGACGTGTGGCCATACAGCATAAAAAGCAAAAGCTTTCGTCTGCGGGAGCATAAATAATTGATTGGCGGCTAGAAAAACTATTTTAAGCCGAACCGGCACTGATATTTTCTTGTAGTTTTTTTATATACGAATGTAAACAAAACATTCGCATGAATATCGAGAATTCCAAAAGCAGTCGATAACAATCATTCTTAACTCAAAATGCCTAATCATTCAGGATTTCGCCAAAACCGAAAACCACAAAAACCCAAGGAAAAGCCTACAATTGATGAAAACAATCCAGTGTTAAAAGCATTCAGGACCTACGCTTCTGAACTGGACGATAAACATGATCGTTATGAGCGCATAGTTAAGCTCAGTCGTGATATTACTATTGAATCAAAGCGTATTATATTTTCTTTACATTCAATTGATAGCCGTAAAGGAAATAAGGAAAAAGTATTGGATGAGGCTCAACAACGTCTTGAAAAACTAATTGAAAATAATTTTAAAGCAGTTGCCAAGGAATTAAAGGATCAAGATCCCTACCATTATCGTGGCGCTTACTCTCCAGGTCTGCAGGAATTCATAGAAGCATATACATTTATGGAGTACATGAAATATGCTGACGAAACCCATTCAAACTTGAATAATGTGGAGAAATCAGTTTCAGATTGGATAGATTTGCAAAAGCAGATGCACTACACGGATTTACAACAATCCCAAGAAAATGAAGAGGCGGATAATGCTGAAAATGCTCAAAAAGGTTATTCGTTTTTCGTCGATCCCACTGAATACATACTGGGGTTATCTGATCTTACTGGTGAGTTAATGCGTCGCTGCATTAATTCTTTGGGTAGTGGTGAAACGGATACTTGCCTATCAACATGCAAAGTATTGCAACAGTTTTATACAGGGTAAGAAACGTTACAATTAAAATATGTAGCCCATTATAATTTCAATTTTTTTTTTACAGCTATATAAGTTTAAATGTCCATAGATGTCGTGAGCTATCACGTAAAATATATACCATGCGTCAGAGTGTTTTAAAATCTGAAAACGTTTGCTACAATGTTAAAGTACGCGGTGGTGAAGCTGCCAAATGGGGAGCAGTATTTGATAATAAACCTGGAGATGACATAGATGAAGGTTTTTATTAAAATACTACATGTTAACACTTTCTTTTTACAAATCAAACAATGGAATAATAAAAATAAATAGTTTTAATCTTCATCGTCACTTGGCTTATAATCTGATCCAGAATCTCCTCCAAATGGATCCTGGGTTCCATCATCATCACTGAAATTATAATCAAAACTACTATCACTATTCCTCCTATTTCCTTGACGTTGTAGAACGTATTTTCGGTAGTTTTCTTGTATATTAACTATAAAATAAATTATTTTTTCAGACTTTAATTTCACAATAATTTTTTATTACTCACTATTGCGAGGGTGTTGAAAGTTTTTAAAATGTTCTGGATTAAGTCTATAACATTGTCGACCATATTTGCATTTAGAGGCACCGTCTATGGGTTCCGGCATATCCGGTACTGTATAATCTACATCTCCTGGATGTGCCATATCTAAACGATGCCTTGGATTTTGTCTAAAAACTAAATTTTGTGATATTTTCTTTAGGAATTTCTTTTGACTACTTACCTGAAGCATTGTCTTCCAAATTTGCATGAGGGTCTTTCATCATTGTTATCTCTTGTGTTTGCGGCATCATTTGGAGTGTTGTTGGTGATAGATTTGTTGTTTCCTAATGTTTCATCTTCCCCGCTAATAGCTGTTGCAACAACAATATTTTCTTCGTCACTCATTTTCGCAATCTGTTTGAATTTATCTGGCTAAGGTCGGGTTTCTTACTACTCAGTTAAATTTTGCTTAAATTTGCTGTTAACCGATTATTGTGTTTTTCAGTAATGGATTTAATGCAGTTAGGGCAAATCTTTGGGTGAAAGATTAGCAATTAAATTAAAATTAATCCTCGAAAGATGTTTTTGAGTACTCAATTAGTTAATTTTGTTTGCAAGTTTAAGCGCCCAATGGAGGTAGTTTAAACTGAAGCACGAAATGTTAAAGTGTAAACAGGTGATGCAAAAAAAATAATACAATTTTTATAAATATAAACATTAAAATGTTCTATTTATTGATTAGTATAAATTATGGACACTTCAAAATACATTTTTTTGTTTTAAATTTAAGTTTTCATTAACTTTCATATTAAATTTACAATTGTCCTCTTTTTTATAAAATATGCATGGTTTTGATAACAAACACTGACGTTTTCTGTTGTTTTGCATGGCAACACTGCGAAGTTGAATCTTGTACTCAAAAACATCAAAGGGAATTAACATAAGATTAAATTTATTTTTAGATTAACTAATCTGTTTATTAATTGGTATTTGATTGCCATCTCAAAAACCCGCTCTTAAAGTTTGATTGTGTTGTGAACTTTTTAGCATAGAAAAGGTATACATAGAACTGAAACTGAGTATGACAAAACCTAAGTCTGCTGTCAAAAACCTAACTCTTGAGAATGTATTAGTTGAAAAATATGTAACCCAACAAACACAAACTCTTTCGTTTAAAAAGTTTTTATATTTTTGTTTGATATTATATTTCGATATTTCATGAAATAATGGTTTGAATTAGCCATTTTTATTCAATATCAGTTGACCAATGTAAGAATGATCTTCATTAAAAATTATTCTTAATTTTAAATAAACTCTTTGTGTTTGCTGGGTTGAGTCAATATTGACAATTGAAAATAATATTAAAAAAATAAAAACGATTGAAAAATTTGTTTTTTTTTCTGAAAATGTTTTCAATAATTTTATGGGAAAAACATAACTTTTAGCAGTGTTTATTGCAGCAACAGGGGCTATTTTGCCAAAGGAATTGTGCTAATGCTAAAATTAACGCTTGATATGAACGATTATTGTTAATTTCTAAGCAGCCCAAATGCAGTCAAAATACACCCTACACCACACTAATGGGAACGGCATTTTGTTTATGTCTTAAAGTTTGTAACACCTGCGTCAATGTAATGATGTAATCCGTCCATATATTAGCCTATTGAACTTTTTTGTAAGCGGTACATGCTATACAAGAATAGGGTATTTATAAAATTCGACTTTATATATACGAAATTTTGACTATATATTGTTATAATGAGCAGTACATTCATTAATTAAGCAAACATCAATCTCTTGAATATAACTTCTACATTAAAAAATACTAAATAACTTATTGCTACTTACTCGCAATGTGGTAGGGTATGATGTATTCGGATACATTTTGTACTTTCATATTTTTGTTATTTTATGTAAACAAAAATAAAAATACTCATACAATTGTATTAAATTCACACAGAACCTGTACATGTGAGAGAGTAATATTTCTTATTCTCAGTTTCAGTTCTATTTATTTTTCTATGCTTTTTAGTAAAAAATATAAACAATGAACAGCTGTCTTTGCAATATGTAAAATAAACAATTTTAGAAAAAAATAAAATAAACATTGAAAACAGTAATAATTTATCAAGCAAATTCAAAAATTACTATTTCCTTAAAATATTAAAAATTTTAAATATTACTATTTTCTTATAGGTACTATGTTTACATAGTCATGTTTTAACGTGTTTTTGAAAACACAATGAGTTTAAACACAACCGTTGACATATTAGATTATTGTGTTTTTTGCTTCCTGCTTAAAATTTAAAAAAAAAAGATTTTCAGAAATATCAACCATTTCTCTCACACAAAAAATCAAAAGTTTTCCAAAAAAAGTTTACCTGTGTGAACCGGCACTTATTCTTCTCAATCGTATAAAAACAGATCAATGCAATTAATACGTAGTTTCTGAAACAAAAGTTTATATGAGTAGATATTAATATAGCGGCACGACCGCCGTGGGCCGACGATTTTTGGAATTATCAGAAAATATTCTTGCATCTGGCAACTTAATGATGCTATTGTGACATTTCCGAAATTATGTCAAAAATAACATTGCCTGAGGCAACTCTGTAACATAACATAACAAAAGAAAATACAAAATAAAGAAAAGAAAAAAGTAAATATACATTTTTCATCTGAACTGAATAATAAAAGTGTTATTCTCAACAAAAATTAATTGCAAAAAACGCAGAAAATTACAAAAACACTTAACAAATAGTGTAAGCTTATTATTTATGATGTAGTTTTTATAGTAAACAAGTGGAATATAATTAATTTAACTTAATTTGTAGATTTGACCTCATAATCGATAAACAAAATACAAAACTTATCACGAAAATAGAATAGTCACGTCAAAAAAGAGAAACAAATTAAAAAAGTGAAGATAAAAAACTAAGAAAAAAAAAACACCATGAATTTGGTGGACCACAATCCGTACGGCAATGGTTTGCTGTATGTGGGCTTTAATCAAGATCAAGGTTTGTTAAAAATTATTAAACAAATATTTTTAATTTTATATTGTCATTGTTCTCCTTACGTTTTTAAGGTTGCTTTGCCTGTGCCACAGATTCGGGTTTTCGTGTTTTCAACAGTGATCCTTTAAAGGAAAAAGAACGTCAATATTATCCCGAGGGTGGCTTAAGTTATGTGGAAATGTTATTTCGCTGCAATTATTTGGCCGTTGTTGGTGGCGGTATACGACCCTTGTATCCTCCTAACAAGCTTATCATATGGGATGATTTGAAAAAAGCTCCAGCCATCTCCTTGGATTTTAATCAACCCGTTAAAGCAGTGCGTCTAAGACGAGACCGAATTGTTGTTGTTTTTGCTGGCTTCATAAAGGTATTCACCTTTACACAACAACCGCGACAATTGCATGTTTTTGAAACCAATGCTAATCCTCATGGTCTATGTGTTTTGTGTCCTCATAGCAATAAAAGTTTATTGGCATTCCCAGCACGACGTACTGGTCATGTACAGGTAAGAATGTGTATTTTAATAATTGTTTATATAAATTTGTAAAAAAGCTTGAAGATGTTGGTTGTTTCAAACAAAATGATTCATTCGGTTATTAAACTTGCATCGTCGTTAGCGTCTTGCTTCACTAAACGCCCATACTATAATATTTTGTTGGAGTATAACGATAACGTAAAACGAAATCGAGATATTTTACATATTACAAAAACTTCTTAAAAAATACAATATTTTTCAATTTATTTATTTTTTTATGTATTTTTGAATTTTGAAAAAAAATTAAGTCAAAATTTTTTAAATTTTCATTAAAATTTAAATATTTCAACAAAAAATTTGTTATAATTATGAATTTGTATGAAAATTGAAAAATGCTCATTAAAAATAAAATTTAAAATTATTAAATTTTAACAAATTTCAATATCTGTTTTATATAGTATAAATACAATTTCGGAATATTAACGGATTTACTTTTTTTATAGATCGTTGATTTAGGCAACACAGAACGTGCCCCCCTTGAGGTGGTAGCACATGAAGCCAATATTTGTTGTATTGCATTCAATCTACAAGGTACACGATTGGCAACAGCCAGCGAAAAAGGTACCTTAATTCGAATCTTTGATACCGAGACGGGTAAAAAGGTCAACGAACTCCGACGTGGCAGCAATCAAGCAACTATATATTGTATAAATTTCAATCATACATCTACCATGCTGGTAGTTTCTTCGGATCACGGTACTATACACGTATTCAATTTGGATGATAATAAATCCAAAGAATCCTCACTACCAATAGTACCAAAATATTTTTCCAGTCAATGGAGTTTTGTTAAATTCTCCATACCCAAGGAACCACCTTGCATTTGTGCATTTGGTTCAGATCCTAACTCTGTTATAGGTAAGTATTGCTTTCTATATAAAAGAAAACAAAGTTTTGTAACATATTATTTTTCTTGTTTTACTCACATCTCCTGTATTTAGCAATATGTGCTGATGGCCATTATTATAAATTCCTTTTCAATAGCAAAGGTGAATGTAGCCGAGACGTTTGTACTCAATTCTTGGAATTAACTGACGATGATTAAAAAGTGTTTAACAATGTTTGAAGTGTAAACACAAATTTCCTTCTTTATTGAGTAGTAGTACTAAACAATTATTTTTTGACTTTTTATTTGTGATCGTCGTATTTTCAATATTATCATTTATATATATAATTTTTTTCTTTATCCTAATATTACCATTTTAAAGAGAAAAACTACAGTTTAAGGTATGAAAAAAGTAATGTTTTAAAAAAGAGAGAAAACATAAAAATACACGTTAAAATTGCTTTATATATATGAATAACTAAAATTACATTTAATTAAAAATATATACACATACATATATAAATTAGTGCAAACAAAAAATGTATTTGATTGTGGCATGATAAATAGCCAAAGACATTTACAGATTTATAAAATTGTTTTTATTAATATGGCTCTATAATTATTAAAATATCATTCATATCGAGAAACATGAAGTAAAACAGGAAAATTGAGAAGTTTTTTAAATCATTGTATGAATGATTGAAAAATAAAGATTTATTGATTACTTAAATATGTATTTATCATTCCTGTTCAGTTTTGAAAGTTTTATTCAGAAATAATTATTAAATTTTTGAGAGTAGAAAGTTACTGGGGCAAATATCTCTTTTTCAAAATGTAGTTGTTATGGTTGTCAGGTGGTTGAGTGAAACAATGGAGTTTAATTCTAACCCAAAGTTAACCTTTATTTAAAAACAATAATTAATAATAAAATAAATAACAAATCAATTTAAAATAGTTACCGCGTATATGACTGTGTGATGTTTACTAGACGACTTAACAATGTACAATAAACATAACAAAATGTAATAGCGGCAAACTATGTATGTATGACAATATAAAAGTATGTATATAAGACAATATAAAAACGACAGTTATAATTTTAGTACAAAGAACATAGAAGTTGCTTATTTGGGGTTGCCAACATCTCTCTTTCTTTTAAGAAGATTATAATCTGGAGTCCATACAGGAGGACGCTTCCTACGATTGGACCTTCGAAGAGCTGGGGAAGCTTCATCTGTTTGAATTACAGGATCTGTTGTTGAATTACTAGTCGATGCACCTTCTTCTAATGTTGACGTTAACTTTTCTAAAGTTGTCGGTTGACTATTCACGTTTGTTGAACCAGATGGTGAAGTAACTAGAAGTGGATCTTGAACAGGTTGCAATTCATCTGTAGATGTAGTCTGTCCATCAGTGAGTGGTACATATTCAATCTCATTGTCTCTCATATTTTGATCTCTAGGAGGAGTCTGTTGAGCTGTTAAATTGAAATAATCAAATAAAACATCATTAGCTGCTATGTTCTCAGATTCAGAATAACGAGGTCTTAGTTGGTTTGTATGAGACCTAACTGCACGAAATTCAGGAATGTTTTCGATTTCGACTTCGTAATTGACATTTCCGAGTTTTCGTTTGATAATACCTGGGAACCATTCAGATTTATTTAATTTGTATAATTTTGCGTAAACTTTCTGACCAATATTGTATATCCGCTCTTTAGCACCATTACGTTTGTTATATTGTTCTTCCATTTTCTCGTTTCGTTGTAATTGGGATTCTGTTGGTTTTTTAAGTAGATCAAGATTAATCCTTATTTTTCTCCCCACGAACAATTCAGAAGGCGATTTGCCACCAGAGCTAGGATTTGGTGAAGAACGATAACATTTTAAAAATGTTTGTAGATTTTCACTAGAAGTGCCCGTTCCTTCGAGTTTTTTCAAAGCGCGCTTTAAAGTGTCAACGAACCTTTCTGCCTGACCATTTGATTGAGGGTGGTATGGAGCTGTAAATTTGTGTAAAATGCCATTTTCTTGACAAAACTTGGAAAACATGCTGCTGGAGAACTGAGTTCCATTATCACTCACTATTAATTCAGGGTTTCCAAACAATGAAGTGAAATCGCGCATACAATTTATAATTGAATTTGAAGAAATCGATTTAATTTGATAAATTTGTGGCCACTTCGAAAATGAATCTACTATTACGAAATAATAAAAATTATCAACAGGACCGGCTATATCTATATGAACTCTTTCCATAGGTTGTTTTGTTAATGGCCATGAATAAAGTGAAGTTTTTGGTAACGATTTTGCTACTGAAGAGCATTTGGCACAATTCTGTACATACCTTTTAATTTCATCATCCATATGGGGCCAATAAACATAGCTGCGAGCCAGTGCCTTTGTCCTCTCGATACCATGATGACCTTTGTGTAATTCTTTTAGAATGCGTTTTCTAAAACAGCTGGGTATTATAATACGCTCCCCGTACATAACACAATCATCAACAATACTTAAATCTTGTTTTCTCGAAAAATAACACTGAATATCAGAAGATTTTTCATTTGGCCACTTACCAGTTTGTAAGAATTTTATAAGATCTTGGAGATTTGAATCCTTTTTAGTTGCAGCACAAATCATGTTGAATGATACCGGCAAGGCATTTGTGATATCGTTAATTACCTTTTTGATGTCATCTTCCAATTGAATACAAGCGATGATAGTGTCTTCGTTTGGTTTTGGTACATTGGAAATAAGACGAGATAAAATATCAGCTGCTCCGAATTCATGAGTTGAAATGTATTGCAAAGTAAAATCGTATGACATGAGTGTAAGAGCCCATCGCTGGAGACGGTTTGCAGAATGTGCCGGAATTCCTTTTTTATTTCCAAAAATTGAAAGCAGGGGCTTGTGATCCGTTTGAAGAATAAATTTTCTACCAAATAAATATTTATGGAATTTAATTACAGCGAAAACCAGCGCCAATCCTTCCTTTTCAATTTGAGAGTAATTTTTCTCAGCTGGAGTGAGAGACCTTGACGCATGATAAATTGCTTTTTCGCTGCCATCAGGAAAAACATGACAGATATATGCACCCAGTCCAACGTTTGAGGCGTCAGCTGCTACTTTGATAGGAAGCTTTGGATCAAAGTGAGTAAGCAACAAATCAGATGACAGAAGCTGTTTAAACCGCTCAAAACTGCGTTGACATGATGATGACCAATTCCATGCTGTGTTTTTCTTGAGTAAATTATCCAAAGGATCTCTAAGCTTTCTCATTTCATGTAGAAATTTACCGTAGTAGTTAATTGCTCCTAGAAAAGACCGCAATTCACTAATATTCTTGGGAGGCGAAAATTGTAAAATTTTTTTAATTTTATTTTTATCTGGATAAACGCCTTTTTTGTCAAAATGGTAACCAAGGTATGTACACGAAGTTTTAAAAAATTTGCATTTTTCAAAATTCACTGTAATGTTGTATTTTTTTAAACGTTCAAATACCTGTTTTACAGCTGCTATATTTTCTTCGCGTGTTGGTGTGGCTACAATAACATCGTCCAGATAAGGAAAAACGCCTTTAATACCAGAAATAATTGATTCCATACACTGTTGAAAAGCACCAGGAGCCGATCTCACACCTGGGGCAAGCCGATTAAAAGTGTACAAGCCACGATGAGTGTTAATAACTAGTAGTTTTTTCGTGTCATCGTCGACTTCTATTTGCATGTAGGCATTATTTAAATCAATTATTGAAAATATTGAACAGTTGTTAAAATTTATAAAAATTTCATCTGGAAGAGGTAGTGGAAACGTGTGAGGTTCTAGCTGATCATTTAGTCCAGTGGAGTAATCCCCACAAATACGTAGATTACCAGAAGCCTTTTTCACCACCACAATGGGTTTATTGGTGAAATGATACCTTCACGTTCAAGTTTTTGAATTTCACTGTCTAGTTGATCTTTTGCTGCATACGCTACTTGCCTTTTAGGACGAAAAACAGGAACAGCTTGTGGTTTAAGTTGTAGGTGAACTTTAAAATGAGTGCAGTGTCCAATTTCATTCCTAAAAACTTCTGGGTATGTTTTACGCAATTCAGATTCTGTGAGTGTGTTGTTAACTTGAAGTTGTTTACACGATGTATAAGAATCAATGGGTTGGTTCCACAATTTAAATTGTTCCATTAAGTCAGAACCGAAAAGATTTAAATCAGGAAGTGATGATACCAAAATGTTGCATGTTTGGTTTTGATTATTGATAACCACTGTACACTGAAACTGACCTATTATGTTAATTTCATTTGTAGAAGCATCTCTTGGCTTGTGCTGAGAAATTTCTAAAGTTGGTTTACCAATTTTAACCCAGTTCTTATTTGAGATGATCGTGACATCCGAACCAGTATCATGTTGAAGAGAGAGATTTACATTGTTAATTTGTAGTGAAATGTATCGTCTATTTTTACATGCTGCTGTGGTTGCATATACGCTTTTTATTGTTTTACGCGTTTTCTTGAAATTACTTTTATTTTGATGTTGCTGATTATTTTTGCTTATATTTGGCTTTTTATCTGGAAAGCATGAGCAAAATCCTTCCTTATGTCCAACTTTACCACACTGTGAGCATTTGTGTGTTGTATAACCACAATCACGGACAAAATGCATATTTCCACATTGCCAGCACGGTCGCCTTGGCTTTAGGTCTTTATTAGCATTCTGTGGTGTACGTTGCTTGGAACTATGAACTGAGTTGACATTTGGATTTTCATTTGTTGAAACATCGCGTTTAAGACTGTTGATACGTTCCACTTCAGCGACTAAATTATCCAAATTCAATTGATTTTGCTCCGTTTCAGACTCTAGTAGAGTCAAAAGTCTCGCTTTATATTCTTGATCCTTATGCGATGACAATCCATTTACAAATATAAGGCATTTAAAATTATCCGCAGTGCATTTATTTATTAAAAAATTTTCACAATGGCGATTTACTTTGGCTGCGTAACTGATTATGTCTTCGTCTTCTTTTTTTACATTTGTTATACATTTTACACGAGTACTGAATAGACTCTCTTTCCTTCCAAAAAGTTTTTTCAAGATGTCCACTGTTTGTTGGAATGTGACGTCACGAGGTTGTTTTGGAAGTAAATAGTCTTTGTATTTGTTAAAAACGCCATTACTAACCTTTCTCAACAATAACCTCACTTTTGCAGCATCATCAAGTTGATCTGCATCAACCTGGAAAACATCTTCATAGCGCTCGTACCAAGTGCCGAAAATCTGGTTTTCTTCAGGTTCGTAGGTAAACTCACGTATATTTTTCGATAAAATGTCCATCAAGGCTTCTGGGGCAGTTACACTTGCAGAAGGTGTTGTTGACCCACTTACATTACTTGCCGTTGATCCTTGTGTAGCAATAATCAGTCTTTCCATTAGTTGGTGTTGTTTTTCCATAGCCTCTTGTTGACGCGCTAGGAGTTGTCCAACCACTTGTTCCAAAGAAGTCATTGTGTTTATTAATTTCACTCACAACAAAAAAATAAACGATCGTGTTTTTTTTTTTATATTGCAATGTCGTTGCAATTTTTTTTTATGTTTAAAATCCTCGTCGCCAATTGTTATGGTTGTCAGGTGGTTGAGTGAAACAATGGAGTTTAATTCTAACCCAAAGTTAACCTTTATTTAAAAACAATAATTAATAATAAAACAAATAACAAATCAATTTAAAATAGTTACCGCGTATATGACTGTGTGATGTTTACTAGACGACTTAACAATGTACAATAAACATAACAAAATGTAATAGCGGCAAACTATGTATGTATGACAATATAAAAGTATGTATATAAGACAATATAAAAACGACAGTTATAATTTTAGTACAAAGAACATAGAAGTTGCTTATTTGGGGTTGCCAACAGTAGTGAGTTAGTCTACAAGAACATTAAAATGATTAAAGAAGTCCACAAAGTTGAGAAGGGTATATTAAGAATTCCATTTTAAATTTAAATTTTTTTCTCATAGTCACCGATTTGAACAAAACTTTATTGAGCACGTATTAGTAATATAGACAAGACAACATTATATCAACCAAAAGTTTGATTCCGCATTTTTTAACTTTGTTAAAAAATACACATCGAGGGACTATATTCAATAGTCTCTAACTCTAAGTAAAATAATACAAGTTTTCAGGAGAGCAAAAAAACTGTTTATTTCGCTAGTTCGTGAAGATTTTTTAATTTTTTCGACCATATTCTAAAACCTTATATTTATATCAGATAGACCTTTTTTTACGAAAATGTTTATACAACCTTCAGATAGAGAGTTTGTCATAGAAATAGAAATATTTTATTTGATTTAATATCAATATTATATTTTATGCAATTTAATGAAGTAATAGAAACCAAATTATTGAAAAAGCAACAGATTATAAGGTTTTGGTCCAAAATCAATGTTATATGGTTAAACACGACAATAAAATTAATCAAATTAGTATCATAATGTGCGATATCTCGAAAACTATTAAACCGATTTTAAATATTTTGGTGGATTTGTCTTCAGCATGCTCAAATAGTAAAAACACTTGTTTTGCAATAGAAAATTATCCAAACTAATAGATTTTGAAGTAATTTTTCGATAAGATAGAGAGTTTTGCATTCAGAATTTTCCTTTTTTAAGATAGAGAAATTTAAAAATTGCTATAAAATTGACAAAAATATTTTTTTCTTTAAAATTAATACCACTGATGCGGGATAGTTTGTCATCAAAATCTTATTTTCATGAAAGAGACTATTAAATATAGTCCCTCGATATGTATGTAAATCGTTTGAGATTTATTTAAAAATAAGGGAAAAAATTTTAAAAATTATAACCCACATTTGACGCTGCAGAATACTGCTTTTTATATTAAGTTGTATTACGTCCCGATTTTTTTATCTAGATTTTTAAAATATTTTCTTCCAAATCCCCACTTTTTAATTACTCGGATTCCGTCTTTATTTAATATCGTTGACAAAATTGAAAACACAGTTCAAAACTTAGCCAGCTTTTAGATGATTTGGAGACGCCGTCGAAAATTTTTGTCTCTGCCGCCGCCACCGTTATTGTTAGTCGGCGCAGGTCTCTCTACTGTAGACGTGTTTATTTGGGAATTATTTTTTATTTTACAGAAAAATCCATAAGAAATGCTAAATATACCAACTCATATGGTAAATTTTATTTAATTTTTGTTAAATTTGTTACTAAACCAAATTTGTGCCTTATTTCAGGACTTTGTAGGCCAACACAAGGCTGAAAAGTATTCGCGTTTCATTATAACTTTGTTCGGTATTGTGGGTCTCATCTGGGGTGCCATCATACAACAATTTTCACAAACCGTTTACATATTGGGAGCCGGTTTTGTTTTAGCCTCCTTGGTAAGTATCAAGATTCCATAAAAACAAATAGACACCTAACCTTTCTTCCTTTTGTTTTTTAGTTGACCATTCCCCCCTGGCCCATGTTTAGACGTAATCCCTTAAACTGGCAAAAACCTCGTCCTGAACCCTCCGATTGTGGCAATGGCGGCCAAGAGGAAAACAAGCAAAAGAAGAAAAAGTAATTTGTATTAGTTTAGTTTTAAACATTCCCCGAATTTCGCTATAAAAACACAATAAATTATAAAAATTTTAAACTACAATTAAGTATATTAACAATTTTATTTAACTAAAACTCAAATAGGTCTGCGATATGATTTCAATTCATTATGATCATAGTATTTATGTATTAAATCATACATATTAGCAAAAAAGTACATTAAATTGTCATATTGGCCATTATAAGGAGCTTCCGCTGCTATATTGTTCTCACAATCCTCAACTAGACGTGCTGTTTTATAAAACCCCTCAACTATTTCCAAATGATCAAGTCCTCTATAATTTGAATTTAAGCCCCAAGCATTGACATGTACTTCTAGCAAGAACTGGTGTATAGCTTCAATGGTAGCCAAGTACCAGCGAGGACTACCCTTTTGATGGCGCCAAAATTGAGAACAACGGTTTTGTAAAACTACTGGCTTTAAAGATTTAACTCTTTCATCCTTATAAATCCCTCTACTTTGATTCCAAGTGCTGTCTATAAATACTGCTTTCTTGATGGGCAAATTATCGTAGGTATAATGTTTTAAATGCTCCGTTTGCTGTGTCAGCTCCTCACCCACCACTTCTTCTACTCGTCTCTTTAATAGAGTTCCTACATTATGGCCTTTGGGAAATCCAAAATTGTTTTCTTTACATAGCTTTACATTCCGCTCAAACAATTCAGCCACTGTAACACTTTCTACGCTGGGAAATATTAAGACAACATCCTCCTCCTTTGTGTAATCTGGTATATCGGGATATGTATAAATGTTTACTTGTCCGGGCGCCAAAACTGCAGCATGTATAGCCGTACTTTTACCATCAATTTCTTTTTTATGTTTGATAATGTCAATCTTCAAAGGAATTCTTACTTGAGGTATAACATCACCCAGATTACCCACTGGCAGATAGCAACTGTAACAAAAAAACTTCCTGGAGCGATTACATTTCGTGCAATCAGAACGTCCCTCGATGGTATCCAGTACGGTATGATCTGCTAAGTGCATATTTTTAAAAGGATATTTTCGTGGTTGTGATACTATTTGCACGGGATGAGCCATTTCTAGATAATTTAATTATTTGTTCAACATTAAGAACGATTTGCTAAAAAGTGACGAAAATGTTAAAAAATCTAAATATGTGTTAACCTTTAACTACGCAGGTTATTTTAATTATGTCCCCTTCTTTGCAGGTTTTTAATCTTCCAAAGTGTTATATTAATAAAATGCTGATTTTTGAATTGACTATGAAGAGATTAATGTTTTAAGTCGTATTTAATAAAAATGTTTTAATTAAAAAAAAATAATGATATTTAAAAAGCATTCAAAAGAGAAAATTTTTGTTTAGAGAGGTGCTGTCAAAATATTTTTTCTTTCTGTAGTTACGGGTTAATTGGTCATTCACTTATGATTAATAACGCAGCTGGTCTATTTTTAAAATAAATAAAAACAGAGTGTTTCAGATATTCTGAAAAAACGTTAAATTTATTTTAAAATTTAAAGCTAAAACAAACAACGATTTTGTAATTATCAGTATATAATTTCTTAAAAGTTTCGAATAAATAGAACAAACTGTCGTAATGCAGGTCTGAGTTGGGAAATAATTATTGCGTAATTTTTTAAGAACGGTCAGGCTTGTGTTTGTTCGGATTTTATCCATATATATTAATGAAATATATGGGATGAAGTGTCTTAAGAAATTAGATCTTATATTAGAGCTTTGACTAATTATGGACTGATCCAAACATTTTTCAGAATAATTTATATATACAAAAAATATATTAGCGTTTAAGTAATTTTCGGAAGTGGACCATATATCGGAGACTAGACAATTTATGGCCCTATCCGAACAAAATTCGGGAGTGATTTGTATATATATTTATTTATGAGGAATCTTATTCCGATATCTTTATTTATCAATGAAATATGTGATTTTAGGATTAGAATTTTATATCGATGTCTTCATTCAGTAATGAAAAATGTCCGTTTACGTAGTTATCGGAAGTGGGCATTATATGGGAGCTATGTCCAACTATGGACCGATCCGAAAACAATTTAGTAGAGACGATATGTATACAATTTTTGTCGAATATTATTCCAATATCTTTATTTCTTAATTAGTTATGTGCATTTAAGTGAAGTGGACCTTATATGGGAGCTATGACCAATTATGAACCGATTCAAATCTAAGTTGGTAATGATTTCTGATTATACATACATACATACATATCTGTAAAATTTTTTGGTGATACCAATATTTTTGACGAAATTATTAACAATAAATCCATTTCCGAGAATATGTATCTTTGTATGAGGACTATGGGACATTTTCAGTCGGTGCAGGTCAGTAGATGAAAAAAGAATATCTAGTGTTTTGTTGAAAAATGTTTGGGAGGGATGGATATATAAAAGAAAATAGTTTCTGTAAAAAAATACAATTTAATTATTTTTTATTTTGATACATTCAAATAAAATTAATTGTGATTGTTTTATTATAAAAACTTAAATTATGATTATGATTATTATTATTACATGTAAATACTCGTTTTAGAGAAAAAATAGTAAACAAATTTTGTAAACATTGTTAAAAATCTCCTTCATGGCATTTATATATATAAAATTATTCGGTTTAGTTCAATTACAATAATAAAATAAAAATGTAATACAAAATTTAAACTCTTGAGGGTCTTGTTCGTTTCGTTTGTACTATATTTATAATGGCAATAACAATCCAACCGAATACAGCCAACCAGCCAAAAATCAAAGTCATATGGAAGCATATTGAACTATTAATATGTCCATATTTACGTCTCTCAAATGAAGAACTCTGCACTAAATAATCCATAAAATCAAATATAGCAGAGCACGAGAGGCGACTCTTAATAACGGGTACTATATTGCCTACACCTTGGATTTCTTTTAGCAGGGACTCACGATATTGCTTGCAAGTGACGTCAAAACCATCAGTGTAAATGGAGGCATATATTAGTGTGTAAATTGACATAAAACAGGCTATAATACTGGTGGGTAACCAATAATATGGTGATATATCATTATCGGTTAATTCGGATTCAGTAGTTACAACAACCATGTCACCGGATCTGTAATAAAAATAAGGGGGAAAATAAAAGGAATTATAGTTCAAGCAAAGAAAACAAAATAATTAAGGTTTAAAAACAACATCCGGAGATTAATTTTAACTTAACATTAATCTAAAAGTTAAAAACTGTCCCTAAATCAACTAAATTCTGAATCATCATTATGTAGACAGCCCGTCAGTTATTCCATAAGTTATTTAGACTATTTATGTGTTGGTTACTTAACCTCTGACCAAAACTTTAGAAAAATTTCGTGTAGAACACAAATAAATAAAGCTCATTCTACTAAATGCAAAATTGCTATTAATTAAATATTATAAATAAATATACACACAAAACCACAATTACACTTTTATCTAATAAACAATATTCTACATACTGACCTTTGTCTAATTGTTGTAGTTCCTGTCTTCCTCTTGGCAGTGCCCATGCATACACGATACACATGATAAATGCCCAAAACAACACAAAAGAGCAGAGGCAGCAACTGGCCATAAGTGGCATAATAACAGTAAGCTATTGGACCACCCTGGAATGAGTAGTAGGTGGATTGGGCATGTAAATAACAACCACAATTAGTGTCTGGACAGGCATTTAAGACATAGCGCCAATGTGTCCAGGCCACCGCCGATGTAATGCAGCATATAACCGTGGAGACTATAACCAAGGGATAAAAATAGGCCAAAGCACGCTCGGCACCATAAGACATAATGTTGATTTGTTTTTATTATTATTACGCTTTATGTATGTACAGTTGTTGTTATTTTTAGTAAGTTTTGAGTTTTTTAATATAGGCGTATCTTAAAGATACTTTGCACTTATTTTTATATTTCGAAATTCAACGTTTTTGTTTTGATTTCAATTTTCACTTTTTCTTTTTATTAGTAATATTTGTTTTGTATGTTTAGTTATTTTTATTGTTGTAAATTTTGTTTATGTAGTTCTTTTGTAAAATATAAAATCAAAACAAACCGAGAAAAAATTAAAATTATTTCGATATTGTTGCATTCATCAGATAAACACGTTTAACTACTGAAACCAATTCACCACATTGGTGCTAACTAACCACGTTCAAAAAAACAGGTTATCTATCTGTTGACTCTGTTGTTAATGCTTAAGAGAATATAATAAATACTCTAGAAAAGACAGAAGAGAGCATTCTGCTGTGCACAGAAATTTAGTCAAGCGGTGCACAGCAATCAGCGTTGCCACTGACCAAGTTTTAATCCTACCAAATTTTTGTCAAAAAACTACCAAAATCGTTTAAAACCTACCAAATTTCGAAAATTATATAAAACTTTTTTTTTTTTTTTTTTGAAAATATGACTTTTTTATTAATGTATTTTGTCGCCTATGTATACACGGTTATTAGATCTAACAATATCGGCAGTCTATTATTGTCCGTCTCAATTTACAATTGTTAGCATTTCCTGAACATTATTCTGCAATCTTTGTAAGATCTGACAACCATTTATGTGAACATTTAGAGAAAAATGGGGGGACTTTCAATGGGACCTTGGCATCTTGGCATATGAATTAAACTATTATATTATTCAAATTTTTCACAGGTTACATTAAAATCTAAATTAACGTTTGGAAAAGTTGGCGAACTTGCAATAATTTGCGTGGCTTCCCCAAAATGTAAAAAACGTATATCTTAAAAACTATTGTAGTTAGAATCTTCAAAATCGTAAAGTGTTTTTTTTTATATATAGATTTTAGGGTAGCAAAGCACACTGGGTATAGCTAGTCTTAATATAAATTTAATCGTAGCTTAACTCTATGCTGTTTAAAAGATCATTTATTAAATTAAAATTATTCGTTATAAATTGTTTATTGGTTTAGTAGAATAATGAAGGCGGTTTAAGTATGGATGCGAAATGTTAAAGTTTATACCTATACATAGTTTGATCTTAAACTACAAGCGGACATTCGAAATTGGTGTATTTCTCGACCTATAAAAATTTTAGACTATGACATTTTTTATTTAAATTTAAATTTTACTAATATTTTCAAATTATTTTCATATTTTCATATTTCCGTTTTTGAATATACAGTGAATCAACTAAGTTTTTTGCCTACCTTTTTTTAAGAGAATTTTGTTTTTTGTTCATAAATAAAATTCCAAAAAACAGGTAAAAAGTAAATTTATGGTTTCCAATTGAAAATAGAGATTGTGTAGAATGGGAAAACCAAGAAAAAAATGTTAAAATAAAAATTTTGGTGCATTTGTTTTTGCATTTTATTATTTTTCATCATAATTTGCACGTCAATAAAGTATTTTGCATATTGAAATTTCCAGTTAATTTCGTTGGGTTTTTCAAATTATTTTTTAATTGCTTTTTGGAATTTATTGTTTTATTGTTAAAAGGACACGTGTTAAGTATTTTTCAATTGTAATTTTCAAAAATCATATCCTCATTTTGTGAAACTGTGTAGTTATTTGCGTTAAAAATGTTTAAAAGGAAATAATGAGGCAATTCCAATATAAAAAACTAGTTTAGATTTTTAGGACAAATATAAATCAATGAAATTCAATTATGTGAAGGTTAATCAATCATTAAAAAATATAAAAAATATAGAAATTGATGAAATAACACAAAGAATTATTTAAAAAAAACGCACTGAGTTGTCATTCAAAATCTTTAACTGCCAAAGGAGAGCGACTTGTATTCAAGCAAAAACCATTAAAGTCCTCATTTATATTCTCCAAAGTCCATATACGAACTTAAAAGAACACTACGTATAAATTTTGACCTCTAAACAGACCTTAGGTTGCTTCGAAACAATATAAAGTGAACTGTCGTGTGGTACGGGAAAAATACTTAATTTAGATATTTACAAATAGAGGCGGTTCTCATCACCTAAGATCCACAAAAGCAATATTTTTCAACTAATAGGTAGGTAGGTAGGTAGGTAGGTTGATAGGAGGATGTATACTACATCAAATCCGAAGAAATACACCTAGGCCACTATCGGGCCTGTTGTGCGCTCCAATTCAAGAAAAAAAAAAAAAAAAAAAAAAAAAAAAAAAAAAAAAAATTGTTCACTGAATGTATTATTTTTCCATGTTCAGAAACTCAGTTTCCTGGACGTAATTCCTAAGAATCTTCCAATCGGTGTTGGTTAAGAATGTTATTTCTGGAATAACATCACTTCCAAGATACTTGGATCTAACTTCGACGAATGCCTGACAATGGCAAAGAAAGTGCTCCAGAGTTTCACTGTCCTCTCCACATGCTCTACATTCGTCTGAATTCGCACGTCCAATTTTGTATAGATGTGCTCGTAATCCTGTGTGTCCACTGAGAATACGTACCATCATACTAACCTCAGACTTGCTCATTTTGAGAAGATTTCTCGTCTTGCTCTCATCAGGGTCACCCCATAGAATCTTTGTGGTTCTACCCACCGTTTCATTATTCCAAGAGGCCTTATGGGATTCTCTCATCCATATTTTTAATTCAGCTTTTGTTGCGTCGAATGGTTTTGCGTTTGTCAGGTTAACTACATCGAGCTCCCTTCCCTTTAAAGCTATTACATTCGCCCTTTCGTTGCCGGCTACTCCCGAGTGGCCTGGTACCCATATGATGTGAACCTTACCTCTGGGAGAGTATTCAGTTAAAGCTTTCTTACAATCCAATACGGTCTTAGATTTAATTCTATCACCTGATATCGCACAAATTGCCTTCTGGCTGTCGGTAAATATATTAAGCCCTGTGGGCGCCATATTTATTCTAATCCAATTTACACATTCCGTTATTGCTCGTACTTCTGCCTGGAAGCTTGTGTTATGATTAGGTAAACGGTGGTATATTTCTGTTTCTGGGTCTTCAATATAGAACCCCAGACCCACTTTGTCCCCTAATTTAGAGCCATCCGTGTAGCAACGGATTCCTACTGGTATTTGCTCTAATGTTCCGCTTGACCAAGACATTCTATCTGGGATTAGCGTTTCAAAGTTTCCGACATATTCAGTGTCTGGTATGCGATCAGGCACGTCCGATGAATGTGTATAACCTTCCAATGTGTCCAGTATACATTGATGACGTGTCCTATAACCGTTTTTGGCCAGTTCGCCTAAAGTAAAGAGCCGTTCGGCTGTAAGCGCCGCCTCATATCTTATATATGTTTCAATGGGTGGAATATCTAGCAACGTTTCCAGAGCCTTGGTTGAAGTAGTACCCATGGTACCACTTATACCCAAGCAGCATGTACGCTGAACTCCCTGTAGTAGTTTGATATTACACTTTTTGTCCAAAGCAGTCCACCAGATTATTGAAGCATAAGCTAGAATTGGTCTAATTACACTTTTATAAAGCCAATTTGTCATAGTAGGACTAAGACCCCATTTCATGCCTATGGTTCTCCTACATATCGCCCAGCACCGATGTGCCTTGTTGATCCTATCCTCTATGTGGTGTCTCCATTTTAATTTCCGGTCAAGTATTACACCTAAGTACTTAACTTTGTCTGTCACCGGTATCTTCTTGCCCAAGAAGCAAGGTTCAGTATATGTAGAAATTTTTGTCTTTCTTGTGAAAAGACAGATTTCCGTCTTCGCCGGGTTAACATTGAGGCCTCTCGGTTGAGCCCAGCTCAAGGCCGTATTCAGAGCCTCCTCAGCTCTTCTACACAAGTAATTTGGATCCTTTCCCTTTAAAAGTATTACGACATCGTCTGCATAGCAGACAGGTCTAAGTCCTTTCTCGGTTAGGGTCCTTAGGAGGCTATTAATCGTGGTGACCCAGAGTAAAGGTGACAAAATGCCACCCTGTGGTATACCGCGAAATACCTTTTTCCTGATAGTTATATCGTACATCTCGCAGCTTATCCATCTGTTCCTTAGCATGTAGTTGATCCAGTTACGGAGCACCCGGTCAACATAAAACTGGTCTAGGGATTGGATAAGGGTATCAGTGTGCACGTTATTGAAAGCGCCTTCGATGTCAATGCATACTGCCAGTGTATACAGTTTGCTATCGAAAGATTCACTTATGTAGTGGACAACTTCATTTAAAGCGGTCTCCACCGATCGTCCCTTTACATAAGCATGCTGCTTATATTTAAGGTCATTGTATGGTATGCTGCTTTTAACCATGCTATCGACTATCCGTTCCAAGGTTTTAAGTAGGAAGGACGTAAGACTTATCGGTCGATAGGACTTAGGTGTCGCATAGCTAGGTTTCCCTGGTTTGGGTATAAATATTACCCTTGCATCCTGCCATTTAACTGGGGTATATGCCAATTTTAAGCATGCAGTGAATATCTGTGACAGATGTACGGAAACCAGTCCCGCCTCCATCTGCAAAAGTGCCGGGAAAATTCCATCCGGCCCTGCAGCTTTATAGGGAGCAAAGCTCTTGATTGCCCCTTTAACCATGTCAGTTGTAATAACTATTTCCGTGTTACCCTCCCCTTCCTCCAATATCGGTTCATCTATGTTATTCGATATACCGGGTGGGAAATGAGAATCCATTAGGAGTTTCATTGTCTCCTCCATATCCTCAAGCCTCCTGCCCGTGTCATCGATCATAGATTCCGGTTGGACATGAGTTTTGGATAGGAATTTTTTTATCTTCGATACCTCATTTACGCTATCTACCTGTTCACAGAAAAGTTTCCAGGAGTCTCGTTTGGCTCTTCGAACGATTTTCTTATATTCACCAAGTTTATTACGATACTCATCCCAGTATACTGCGGTCTTTTTACGCCGTGCCCGGTTAAATAGTTTGCGAAGAGTCTTCCCAAGGTTCCGGATCTCCCCAGTTACCCAGGGTTTTTCCTGGGCAGATCTCCGCTCTCGCAGAGGGCAGCTGTCCTCGAACGATTCAACCAGGGCACTTGTGAACGTTTCCACTTTGGCATCTATATCCTCTTTATTTCGACATTGAAAAGTGTCCTGACCTAAACGGTTCTTTAGTAAGGCCCCGAACATTGTCCAATTAGTTTTAGACTTATTCCGAAACTTTATCGGCTTTGGTGGTGGCCTTAGTATTTTGAATCTTATGTACCGATGATCAGAAAAGGAGTGCTCGTCCGAAACTCTCCAATCCTGAATTTCGTTTATAAGCTCTTCTGAACATATAGTTATATCTAATACTTCTTCTCTGATTCTATTGACGAAGGTAGCTTTATTACCTAAGTTCAATGTTATCAAGTCTTTAGTATTAAAGAAATCCATGAGGGCTTGTCCCCTGCGATTGGTGTTTGTACTACCCCAAGCTACATGATGCGAGTTGGCATCACAACCTATTACAATTTTCTTATTTTTCCTTTGTGCCTCTTCAACCAGTTTCATCAGATCCGACGTTGGTGGTAGGGTCGGAGAATCGAAAGGCAGGTAAATAGATGCAAGGTATATGTTGCCTCGACCTTGCTTCAGCACCGTTGCATCCGATGTTGATAATCCTGTTGAGAGGAGAAAACATAAGTTCTTGTGACATAAGATACATGTTCTCGGGCGAGATCCTGTATCAGCGTAGAAAAGTTGGAAATTTACGTGATTTAATCCAGAAACCTTGTTGCGAATCGTCCAAGGTTCCTGGATTAAAGCTATATGTATTTTACCTGTGTTGATTTTAGCCATCAGAGCGTTGGTAGCTGTCTCGCTCCGATGGAGGTTTATTTGGATAACCTCAATCATGGTCATCCATTAAACTGTCTTCCAGCGAGTTGGTGGTCACCTCCTCGCTCTTTGGATTTGACTCCTCCGGATAGCCTGAAGTGGCTATTAATGCAGTGAGTACTGTTGATGGCACTGCGGTGTCCTTATCAGGCATAGGAATAGCAGTATTTTTAATAGACACATTCCCAATTCTGGAGAGCATTGCTGTTCTGTCTTCTGGCGGGTGAGTGATTTCCTCCTCGCTTTTAGGATTTGACTCCTCAACATTGCTAGTACTTGCTAATGATGCTTTGGGTACTGTCTTAGGTGTTTTAGTGTCCTTGTCGGGGCCGGTTTTGACAGCCCTTTCAATCGGCGCCTTCCCAATTTTGGAAAGGGCAACTACACTTTCTTCTGGCGAGTTAATGGTAAATTCCTCGATTTTAGGATTTGACTCCTCAACGTTATCAGTAGTGGATACTGTGGTCTTAGGTTTTTTAGTGTCCTTTTCGAGGCTTGTTGTAACAGCCCTTCCAATCGGCACCTTCCCAATTTTGAATATGACAGATTTAGAGGCGAAGTAAGCCCTACCTTTATTCTTGGCAAGACTAGCCATGGATTTCTGGTCGATACCTATTACAAATAAAGTTCCCTCAGGTTCTTCTTTCCTGTAAAAGACATCCCATTTTTCCACGGCCAGCTCAGCATTTTGACCTCCAAGAATTTCCAGTATACGTTCATTAGCCAGTTTACTGCCCCATCCTTTTATGTAGACAGTGGACTTTAGGAGCACCGGAAGCTCGCTCTTCTTTGCCAGTCCCAGCCTAGCGCCGTCCCAGGGAGGAGGGATACTTTCCACCAAGTTCTTTAGGGTGCTAACATATTGGTGAGATGCCAACCTCATCAACATCACGCCCATGCTGAACTCGCAGCTCTCGCTCTCTATTGGTTGTTTGCCCTTTGAAGCTATTGCATGGTCCACTATCTTATTGTTGACCAGGTCTTCTATTTTACTCTGTTGGTCTATTGGAATTTTGCCTGTCGGATTACCGGCATCGTAAACTGCATAGCAGAGATCGTCCCGGTGCCTACTTCTGGCAACTTTGGCGTAAGATGGCGGCTCTTTACCTTTTCCTCCGTCTAGCTTCTCCTTCCTCGTTTTTCGGGGCTTCTTTTGAGATTCCCTTACCTTCGAGGTTGATTTCGCCGACGTGTTCATCTTCGGAATATCTGGCTTGGCGTTGTCACCCTTACTCGCAGGATTCTCACTTGAGATTCCTTTGAGTGAAGTATGGCTTGGCTTCGACTGTGTATTAGAAGACGGGGAGCTCTTTTTCTTCTTAGGCTTATTCTCAGTTGTCAACTCCTCGGGTGACCTGATCCTTTTTGCCTCAGATCTTGTGAGAGAGTCCGATTCCTTTGGAGTGTCGTGGGATTGACTAACTATGATTTCCTGAAGCATCTTTTTCAACTTCCTCCTCTGTGCTCCAGAAAGTCTTTTCTTAGTAATAGGTAGTTTAGCTATGCTATCACTCACCTCTTTCACCATTTGCTCTACTTCATCCTTTTTGGGATTTGCTATAATGGTATTATTATTATTATCATCTGAGGATTCAGAGTCGGAACCCTCACCTATATTTAAAGGCTGAGGTAGCTTAGAGCTCTCTCCGAGTACATCCTTCTCTTTCACCCCTATATTTTTGCCAGCGGCATGCTGTACACTTGACGCATTGTCCGCCACGGAGGCCAAGGTACCCACCTCCGTAGTAGTATTCTGCTCACGATTGCAGGATGACGACGACACGTGACTCGCGAGTAGATCAACACTTGCCGCCGGTACTGGGTTATTTAGGCCCTGCACCGTAACTTTTATCTTTTTATTTTTATTTTCCATATTTGTTTTTTTTTTTTCTTTTTCCAGTTTTTTGGTCCGCGGGGAATATAATATTCCCAGGTGGTGGACAATCTGCCCTCCCTCAGCTTAAGTGAAATTAAAGCTGGGAGAGGACAGATGGTCCATCACCACCCCCTATCCGCCACCCGGGGACGCGCTCGGTAGGAAAAATCTGGAAAACTCCCCCGAGTTTCAACTAATACATACACTTATATATAGTTAGAACCCAAATCAAGAATAACTATCCAAATCCAACTACGCCCACTGTATTTTATTCATAAAATAATGCATTCAAAATATGAGGTAGAATATCAAGATTCTAGCATGTAATAGTTCTATAGTGGTATACGGCGATTTCCCCATACTTAGAGTGGCTAGGACGGTACTTAGTGTTAGCTTTATTGAATAAGAATCAATATTACACAATTCTAAATGAAATTCACACAGTACTCCCCAAATAGATGGGGTTTCCGTAATGTAGTTTTTGTTTGTCAATACAATATGACCAAAAACCAAGATTATTTTTGTTATAATCTATATATTTATACGCCACTAAAATTTTTTTCTAGGTCCAAATCCATTGATTTCCTAATATATCAGGTATCCAATTCAAAATTACTTATTATTCTCGAAATTAAATCAAAGAAACGATAGATTTCATGTTAAGTCAAATATTGAGAAATTCTTATAGATATATAGGATAATAAATCGGTTAAGAAATGTCCAAACTTAGTCGTTCCACTACTAAAATATCTAAAAAGTGTCATTCTAAAACATAGGAGTAATAAAAATATTAAATTTTATAAAATAATGCAGCAATATTAAAAAATTAACAAAAAACCTAAAAAAGCAAAATACTTTATTGACCTTAAAAATTAACAATACGTTCACATTTGATCAAAAATCTCGTTAATTAATATCACGATTTTACTTTTTATGGTATTTTATTAAAATATAAGATATTCTTTAAAAAATACAACAAACAAATTGCTTTATTTTGCTAAAAATAATTGTTCAGATAAAGTTTTTTCTTAAAATTTATAAAATTTTACATAGGCAAATTACTTAATTGATTCACTGTATGTACATAATATGTTCGTTCATAAAATACTGTTTCTACAGTTTCAAATACAAGTTTGGTCACGTCAAAATTTAACTAAATCGGTTCAGTAGTTTCTTGACTGATTTACGTTTGTGAGTACGTTTTTTTCTTGTTTTTTTAAATAAAAAAAAAATATCACTTCTGGGAAACCCATGCCCTTATATTGAAAGGTATGTAAATATACTTTGGTATGTATATTGTTTTGAATTATTTTTATTTACGAAAGAGCGAACGCTACTAATTCCAATTGGAGTGAAAAGTATATTTCTCGTTGAGCTGGCTTCAATGTTTGACGATCTTAAATAAACTAAAGTTTCATTGCAAGAGTTTTTATTGAACTAACTGGGTGTATTTTGTTGTACTTTTAATTAACTCTTTTCCGCATCAAATGAGCGCTGCCGAATGCAAAATAAGTAAATACTGAGTAGAACAGGGTAAATTGTTTTTTAAAATGTAACGTACTACGTAATCGTAAATGAGAAATAAACAATATAAATTGAATATACATACATATGTATGTAGATATCAATACATTTTATCAAGATAGTGGTGAATGAGCGAGTGTTTCTTAAATGTTCCTCATTTCTTATGCCGTAGAAATATACTTGTTTATTTATATATGAATGAATCTATGATTCATATGTGACCAGGGAGTAGTACATCATTGATGGGCTTATCTATGTGAATAATAAGTAAAAATATTTTAAGCAGTATTTAAATGCACTAGAGAAAAGTTAATTATTTTTTTTTTTAATTTAATTTATTATGTTAATAAAATGTGTTAACAATATGTTTGCTTTAATAAAAATTAATGAATTAATGTTTTTTCCTACTTATACGAAGGCAAGAAAAAAATTAAAAAGTCAAGGTTTTTATAGAAATGTGAAAACTTTGTATAAGTGAAATGTCTAAGATCCATTACGTTAAAGATTAGCGTAATTTTCGCGCCAATGAAAGAGCAAAAAGTGCTATGATGCACAGTGGTTTAGAAATCCTTTTTGGAAAAAATCACTGTTTAGGGAACGAAATTCGACATGGTTGGAGATTAACAGTTGTAGGTGATTGTAGGAAAAATGAAGACCAATGGGTAGCTCCTCAAAGTTGGTCAGGCCGGGTATCACATTTTTCAAAAAAATCCATTTATGATCCGAATCAAGATACATATGTATATTAATTATAAGATAGTGTCGTCGACGAATTCAGAAAAATAGATCGCATTCATTGTATTTTTTATATATGAAGTTTGACAGTATCATCAAAAATGCTCTGTTAACACTACCATATAATTAATATACCATGATCCGAATGAGCTAAAACTTAAAATATAATAATACATGTATGCATTATCTTGTTTGCTTCAAGAGATATTTAAATTTTTAAATTTTTCCTATTTTACTTCTTAATATGCAAAATTTTTATGAAAATATAAACATTACAGTATTTTAAATAAAGATTAAATTAAAACGAAAGGAAGTATAATATTTTAAAGTATCAATAATTTCGACAGACGGGAAGTAAGCTATTACAAAATATCCATTTTAATCTATTTTAAAATTACTTTTTACAAATGTACTATTTTTAACAAATACAAAACTTTAATTAGCTTTCGTTGACTCAAAATTGATTTTTTAAAATAAATTTTGAAATATTTTAAATAAGGTATATTCTTAAGAAATCCACCCTAACTAAATTGAAATATATAATTTTAAAAAAGAGTTGAGTTTTTTATCCAAAAACAATTTTAAGATCTTAAGATTTAAACAAACTTCTGCGTACATTCACCCGAACCCAATACATTATATTCTGTCTTAGCCATTAACGGTTCACTGGCCACAAAAGTTAAATCATTCTTTATATAACTATTATCATAATCGATAATACGTTCATTGGGATTTACATAATTCTCTCGAACTTCTGTGATCAAACCAGAATTGGGTACAGCTTTGACTTTACTTGGAAATTCACAGCGTCTTTTCGTACAGTCTTTCGATGGCAATTTATCACATAATTGTGCTTCCTTAACACGAAATACTTTTTTCTCACGATATTCGGTGTCTTTCCAATTCCAAAATGTTATATTATCATTGGCCGCAATACTATTCATGATGTCTTGGGGGGAACGATAACAGTAATCTAGACTGGTGGTAGTGGCAGATGGATCCAATAATTTTGAATAGCCAGGTTTATTACGATCTACAACGATTTTAGTAGGGGATACAGCGCACGGTATGTGAGGAATGGCTGGAGGTAAAGTGGTATTTTCAGGTTGCCAAATATAATCGGAATGGGTTACACTACTAGCGGGGCGCATGGGTCTTTTAAGGAATTTAAGATTACAATCGTAAAAGGGTTTCATATAGTGAATTTTTCTATCCAAAGAAACATTGCGTATTTCATCGGGAATGCCGAACTGAATAAAATTGATTTATTAGAAGATTATACCTAAATAAGTTTACCTTAAAGTAGAAACTTTACCTTCCACACATAATTTGCTTTATAATCACTAGTTCTATGTTTTTCCAAAACTGCATCTTCTTCATAAGATTTTGTTTCTTTGCACATTGGCTGTATCTTATTGTTCAACATAGTGTCACCCATTATTTTATGTCCCAGGTAAGTTGATGTCCTCATATCCTGCTCGTTACCCAATGGTTTTTTATAATCCATAAAACCAAATTCATTTAATTTGTGGGATTCACTATGTTCCAACATTTTATTGGTTATTTTTTGCTGATAATATGAAAAGATTTCTGTTAGGGAAAAAATATTTGAAAAAAATAGTTTTTATTTGGGAAGTGAAAAGAAAATAATTAATGAAAAAGGTTGCCAAGGGTTTAATATTTCGTATAAATCAGTGCTATGGTTACTCACATTCAGATGTTTAATATCATACACCAATATAACTAAATCGTTTCCAATTGTATTTCATAACTTTGTTATTGTATTTCGGAATTTTCCAATTGAGTTTCAGAAAATTTTTAATATTGGGTGGCCCCGTTTGTATGGCGAAAAAATAAGGTGCCGATGTTCCCACCGATCTTTCAATGGCGTATCATAAATTTTTGATCCCTTAATTAAAAATAAGTTCATATTTATCCTTTTGTTTTTAATTTATTATAACAATATATTATATTTATTTTATCTATATGTATATTTTGTTGTTTTTTTTTTGTCTTTTTGTAATTTTTTATAATATAATAGTTGATGATTACTTTTGGTTATACATATGTTTTAAAACAAATAAAAATCATAATTTACATTAAATTTTCGCTTTCAAAAAAAGAACGAACAAAATCGTACATTTGATTGAAACAAGGAAACAAACAAACACATTTTCTCTTAAACTTGCTAAAGACTATTAAAAATAATTAGTGATTATAATATTTACAATCTCTTTACTCTAAAGCGAATATTAATATTAATACATAATAATAATAAAAAACATAATAAATTATGCCAAAAAATAACATTTGCAGTTTTTTTTTGGTTTTAACAAGACTAAAACAGGCGTTAAGGATAAAAACTTAACTTAAAAAAAAAAAAAAAAACAATTAAGTACAAAAATACGTAAAATGATCCCTTTAAAATGTTTTATTAAATAGCGGAGGATCTGTTTTTGTTTTATTTTTTTTTAATGTTAAAAAGTATTTATTATAACGAGCAAGTTGTCCAGACTAAACAATTTTCTCTTTATACAAAACTTTTTAAATCTGTTAATACTAAACTAAGTTAAAACAAATTCAAGTTAAAAAGTATACACACACATTGAGAGTTAAGGACTAAGGACTAATTATCATTTATGTTTCTGTTTTTCCTTTTTGTTTAAATTTGGTTCTATATTAGAATATCATCACTGTAACTAGACACACATACATTTGCATTATTGGAACGGTACGGATTTTTCGACATCATGGCGGTCGTTGTCAACGCAGTCGTCTTTCGAAAACGATTCATTGAATGGGAATGTTGTTGTTGCTGTTGGGAATTTTGGCTGTTAAGTTGTTGTTGTTGGTGGTGATTGTGTGTAGTTTGATTGTGATTGAGCAAACGTCATTTCTTCGTATTAATACTTGGTTTGGGCAAAGAATTGATGAACGAGGTGTGAGTGGGTATGGCTGGTGCTACAAACCCCAAGTCTGGTATTAGGGCTATACTTGGTGCTACTTTCGCGGAGCCTATAGATTGGAATTGATTGTTTTTGGCGGCGTTTGCTGCTGCCGAAAGGCGTTCAGGAGTAGGTACTGGTGCTGTTGAGAAGTTTTGCATAACATGTATTTGTTGCTGATAGACATTATTGGGTGGTTGCTGCATTTGTTGGTTGTTGCCCACCATAAGAGATGGTAAATTATTTGTTATTTGGTATGGCTGTTGAGAGATGTTGTAGTTATTATTGTTGTTGTAAAGAGTTTTTTGAGTTGGATTAGTTGCTGGAGCTGTTGAGGGGACATTTAAGGGTCCCTTGTGATACATACTTAAGGGATTATTATAGAAATTAGCATTCTGCCAGGCACCACTATTAAACTGAGGAATTCGATATGAGGCAGACTGCTGTGAGGGCGGAGCACTCGAAACGAAGTCCGACCATTCGTCATCATTATTGGAATTGTTGTGGTGTGTGGCAGGAGGCATTCTATGGTTTACTACAGGAGATCTTTGTTTAAAAGGCGACCCAGCTGGACTTTTGGCCAAAATATTATTATTGTTTGCCAATCTATTCGCAGATGCATTATTTGTAACGGTTACTGAAACAAAATCTGACCAGTCATCATCGTCATCATTAAGATTGCCTTCCAACTCCTTATTGGCTACGGTGGCACTTATGGAGGGTGTGGAGGCCACTTGGTGGGTAGGAGTTGATTTTTGTGATGAATTTGAGCCATTAGAGGATTTAAGTGATTTAGGCTCTGGGAATAACTCCTCAATGCGTGCCAATTCTTCAGGATTTATAGTGGCTGTAGAATCACCCCATTCTATTTTTGGTTTCTGCTGTTCCAGGGATATGGCCTGAGGTATTAAAATGGCTGGACTTAAGATCATACCACCGTGAGAAACTGTAGTTGGTTTAGGTACTTCTAAAGGTTTTGTATTGTTAACAGCCACCGGTTTCGTTGTTGGCATAATTACTTCAGTTGGTACTGATTGAAATTCGCTAAAATCATCACTAGATTCCTGTTCATCCCCCACTGCAACATCTGTTTCAGCGATGATATTGTTTGTATTGCTGTTGTTGGGATAATTAGATTCAAACATTTCACTTTTATTTGTGACAGATTTACTGAGAGATTCCATGCTAAAAGGTGGATTATATTCCACATCTCTATATTCCTTTTTAACTACAGTTTCGTTTATTATAACACCCATGGCAGCCTTTTCGTAATCGAAATCTATAGGGGAAACTTTCGAAGGTGATGACGATGTCGTAGAGGCTCCTGTTGTAGTTTTCACTTCAAAATCACTCGTTTTGGGTGGTGTATAAATGTGAGTTTCTTTAAATGATCCTGTGAAAGTAGATGTTACCACAACTTCATTTATGTTAAGGGTATTTTTCAAATTATCTTCAATATCTTTCATAACGAAATCGTCAAGATTGCTGCCAGCATTCTGTGAGGCTTCCAATTCCATGTCCAAGTTGTTTGTAGGTAGGGGAGACGAAAAAGTTGGTATAGATTCCATTTCACTAATGGGTGGAGTTTTAGAAAATTTATCCTCATTTTCAAGAGGATTTTCAAAAATTGTTAACGATACAGGTTCTGCTGGTGACGGTTCATTGGTTACAGGAGGTACTGAGGTTATTGGAGTTGCAGACTGTGCTACGGGTGTTACAGTAGTTTCTTTAAAAGCTGAAAAATATTATTCTAATATTAAAATACAAGCAGAAGAGAACAATATTTCAAAAACATTTACCTTCTGTTGTTTGCTCTTGAGTATTTGTTGGTTTCCAATCCAAATCGAAAGACTCCTTTTTAACGCTGCCTGTTACATCCAAAGTTTTAGTTGACTCTGAGATGATTGGTATGGGCTCTAACATTGTATTAGAATCAGCTGCACTGCTAGAGGATTGTACAGGTTTCATAGGTTTTAAAGGATTAAAACTCAGATTAGCTGCAAAACGGGGCAATGAAGGATTCCAATTTTCACCAAAAAGCTTAAAGAAAAAGAAAAACTTTATTGTAGAATACAAAAAAACTAAAACAAGACAATTTTCATAATAAACTTACAATATTTCTCGAGTCTATTCCCAAAGCTCTTATAAACGAATGACGTGTATCCGAGTTTAACCATTGATATTCTAAAGCTTTTGCCGCATCAATGGATGTGAAGGGTATATCTTGTATTTTATCGGTTTTAAGTTCATCGGCACTTTCATCAGCTGCTTGAGTTATGGCCGGAGTAAACATTAATTGTAAAATTTTCGATATGCGTTCATTGAGATTATGTGTTGGTGGTAAAGCCGTTGTTGCTGCGGTGATATTTTGACTAGTTTTTGTTAGTGTTAGGCTAGAGGCAGTTGGTGTTATGGGTTGGGCTGTATTAAAATCACCAAAATCATCATCATCTTCTTCCACGTCATTTAGTTCTGGAACATTGTGATCCTCATTATTAGTAAAAGTATGAGCTTCATTAGCTGTTTGCTCCGTATTGAGGTTTACTTCATGCGATTCGAAATCGGCAAAATCATCAAATTCCTCATCATTTGTAGTATTTGGGGAACATTCCTTTGGTTCCTCAATATTTTTTAAAACTTCTGTATTTTCTCTAAGCAAATTTTGAGTAGGCTTAGAAAATTCAGCAAAATTACCGAAATCATCCTCGTCATTATCATGTCCTTTGTTAACTGTGGCTGAATTAAAATCACCAAAACTATTATCTAAATGGGATCTTTCTTTATTTTCTTCATTAAAATCTTCTGAGGGGTTTTCAACAGTTGATGATACTTTATTAATGTTTTTACTATTATTATCTTGTGGCATTTCCTGAGTTATAATTTCGTTTGCTAAAGTATATTGTTTGGAACGTTCTTCTATGCTGTCGGGTAATGCGTTAGAGTGTGAAGTATACAGTTCAAATTTATCCGACTCTTCCGCTTTAGAATCTTTTAAGGTGTTATTTTCTTCAACATCTTCCTGTTTTTCGTTATTAGTATTTACATTTGTAGTTTCCCTAGTTGTATTATAATTGTTAAAATCATTAAAACCATTAAATTCTAAATCGTCATTATGTTGTTGCTTGTTATTAATGTCACTGACAGGTACTGTATTGTTAACAAAATATTGAGTTTCTGCAGGTGTCACGGACGTACTGAAATCTTGAAAATCTTGAAAATCTGCAAAATCTCCAAAATCATCATCATCGATACTGTTCGTATCGTCCTGCAATGGTGGCGGCATATCGTAATTGTTTTGCATAAAACTATTGCTGGAGAATGACTTAAATTCATTGTCATTATCATTTCCAATGGAGGCAGATTCATTATTGTCTAAAGAATCCAAAGATTTAGCATCTACATCCTTAGAATTAACTTTTGTTAAATTCCCCGTGTTCGTGGTTGTTTTTATCTCCTCGATTTTAAAATAATCATTTAAATTATCAGTTTCAATAAAATTTTTCGGTGTTTTTGGTGAATACAATTCGTCATCACTTAAATCATCTTCTATATCCTCAATGGACACCATATTTTGCATACAGTTTAGATTCGTTTTATTACTATTACATTTGGCTTCATTGTTTGAAGTTTCAATGGTTAAATCTTTTACATTTTTACTTAAACCGGGGGTAGCTGTTGGATTTTGAATTATGTCTAGGCTTTCCATTTGACTATTTAGTTTTTCTAAATCATTTGTTTCTATTTGTAGACTTTCTGTGTTAGGTTGGCCATCTGTTGCTTTAGTTTCCATTGAGGAATTATTGCTTTCCCCTTTTGGTTCAAGGGTTTTAGATTCCTCTTCGTATGTACTTTTTACTTTAAAATTAAATGCCTCAGTTATGTTTATAGATTTTGTGGTATTTTTAGAATTTTTGCTTATTTTACTATCTTCTGGTGTTGGTGGTGGCGTTGGTGACGAGGGTATTGTTGCGTGATTTTTAAGGTTTTCTTCTGGGGGCGGTATTAAGCCATCGTAAATACTGACTGCTGGTAAATCACATACCGAAGGTGGTCGTGGTGAAGGCAGAGGTTCTGAAAAGGGGGGAAAATTATTTATTAAATTGTTGTGCGGAAATAATAAAAATAATAGTTCTAGTATGGGACGCAGAACCTTGCTTTATCATATCTTATATTCGACCCATGGAATTAAGTGTAAACACTCATTAATAGCACCTCAACTAACTTAGATTTGGAGGAAAATTAAATTTAACGGTACAAACCACATTTGGGATCCTCTTCAGAAAATATTTTTTACGAAGAAGTAATTTGTTTTAAACATGTTAGGATCATCTGTCCATATTTCGACCAAACCGCCATAGACTGCCTTCTCTTAATAATCAATACATTCATAACATTATAGTGATTAAATTATACAGTTTGTATAATATTAAAGAAGATCGATCTATAATAGAAAGTATTCACGACCCTAACTTAAAAACAGTTTATAGGTACCTACATATATCTTTCCAAAAATCGATTAGTCTATAGGTATGTACTATAGCTTATTATAAATTATAATCTTGTAATTATTATATATTATAACTTACCATTGGTATTTGCATCATCAACGGTAAGAAAGTCACCAAAATCATCGTCGACCACACCGTCAAGAGTGGGCGGTAATTCATCCACATATTCATCATCTTCACCAAAATCAATGGGCGGTGGTGTACTGCATAATAATGGTGGTATTGGTGGTACATTGACCATTTTTAAATCAACAACCACTTAGTACAATAATAAGCCTGGCTTAAGCAAAATGCAAGACCTCTTCTGCAGCAGCAAAAAAACTTGAGGCACAGCACCAGAAGTTGCAACAAAACACAAACAGGAAAGGGTGAGAAATGTATTGAATTCGCACAACAACAAGCGTACACACCCCGAAGAATGCTGGTTTAATTTAACTCGTACTTATTGTGTGTATTATTTCTACAACTGCCAAGCTGCAAAGGTGGTTGAGTCATATGTTAACAACTTTTTATTTTCAATTTTTTCATAAATAATTAGCAAAACAAAATAAAAACACGAAACCAGGTGAAAAATGTTACAAGTTATAGAAAACCTTTTAAAATATAATGACGTCCTCAAAAAAGTGAGTGGAAAACAAAAACAACAATTTCCTAATCTTAACATCAAAATACACACGTTAAATATTTATTAACGAATAAATAAAACAAATGTTAAGAAATAATAGTATTGTTAGATTAGCACTTGAGCTATTTTGTGGGTAATAAAAATTAAAACCAAAAAGAAAACACCAGAAAACAAATGGAAGCTGAAAAAACACTGAAATTTTATGCACAATAAAATCAACCAACAAAACAGAAAACATCAATAATATTCATTTTTTGTCATACACTGGTTTGTTTTTTTTTTTGCATTTTTTCATTCTAGTCTTTAGACAACAAACCTTCAATACTTCCACGTAAATGCACTTAAATATATTAAATATTTGCTAATAATGTTAATGAGTAGCTTGTAAATGTCCTAATTTTTAGCTTGACGTTAAATTTTCTTAAGATTTTTTGTATTTATTCCATAAAATATTTTTTATTCCTCGTAATTGACACAACTTTTCCAATCCATTCACAAAAATACACTATACTAGGGTGAATTTAAAAAGATCTTAACAAGTTGCAATTTTTTAACATTTCTCTACAAAGTCTGACATTTCTGCAAACGTTAAAATAGTTTTTATATATAGAATTTGACATTTCTATACACAAATGTTGTGACGGGTAAAACACCTTATTTAAATTTTATTAGGTGTACAGGAATGTTTAACTAGTACTTTTATAAGCAACTTTGTGTTGTGAAAAGTTATTCAATTATTGTGAATGTTTACAGTTTGAGAGCCTTTGTTGTGGAAAAGACATATGTTTTTGACATTTCTATTGTAAACAGGTGAATTCACAGTAAAATTATTTTTCATTATTTAACAATTTTTTGTTTGTCGCAGGAATATTAAAATATTAATTAAAATTATACAATTTTCTACAGTTTTAATATGAGACACGCTCAATTTTTGGCCCGCACTGTTTTGGTGCAAAACAATAATGTGGAGGAAGCCTGCCGCTTGCTGAATCGCATTTTGGGCAAAGAGGAAATTTTCGATCAATTTAGACGCACACGTTATTACGAGAAACCTTACCAGGTAAAATAAATTTGTCGTCAATTTAATAATATAATTTATTACAAAATCTTTTTGTTTTGTATATATTTTTTGTTTTTAGGTCAGACGTCGTGTTAATTTCGAAAAATGTAAAGCCATTTACAACGAGGATATGAATCGTAAAATTCAATTTGTTTTGCGTAAAAATCGTGTTGAACCTTTCCCCGGCTGCAATTAAGTTAATTTTTTTTGATATGTTTACTGATTTAAATTAAGTCGTTTAAATTGTATGTAATAAAGTTATAAGGAATTAAAATTTATTATGAATATTAAATTAGAAGAGGGTAGTAGGTAACGATAAGATTATATTAAAATAATTATTACTATTTGCAAAGCATTTCTAAAAATTCTGGATGCCATTTGGACTACCATGAACTTATAAATTAATATTATATGTCGAAATTGTTGATATGGCTGACAAATACGTGAGATCTATTAAAACAAATCATGAAAATTTTACACACCTAGATAGGAAATCTTAGGGAATTGTATACCAATGAAAATTCATTAAATGTCTCCTAAAATCAATCCTAATCGTAACAATTCGAAACAGTATTCCATAGATAAAGGACTAGTTCCAGAACAGTTCTAAAAAAGTTGTATACATAGTCTAAAGCTTCCTTAGAACTAGTTAAAACAAAAATCATTGGCTGTTTCTGTCCTTTTAGAAGACCCATATATCTGCTATATCATACTTTCGAGAAGTTTCCTATTCTTGATTATTTTTTTCAGCAACTATTTCAAAAATTAGAACGTTCCATAATTGACCATAGCTACAATATAAGGTCCACTTCCGAAATATATATATACATACATAATTCATTAAAAAGTGTACATACACAAATTATTCACCGAAATATTTTCCGGGTCAGCTTCCGTATAAAGTCGAATTTCGAAATTCACTTAATCGTAAATAACTCATGAAGTAATAATTATAAGTAATAATAACTCATGAAAGTTAACCAATGCTTAAACTTTTGTTTAAATTATTATATTTTAACTTTTCGAAATTTTAAATTGCAAAATGAAAATTGAATCCTTTTTACATTAACACCTTTTTGCAATTTGACCATATGTTTTTTATTTTTAAATAGATAATAGAAACAAAAATACTTAACTTAATAATCATTAATTTACATACAAACGCCATATGTTTCATCCAAACCAATAAAATACTAGGGAGGGCTATGTACTACGACTGAAAAAAACAAAACAAAAAAAAAAAAAGAAGGCAATAATCCCATCATTCCGGTTTTATAGAGCTAAAAATAGAATAACCACAAACCATTGTTTTTAATGCAGGATAAAGAAATAAACATACATACACAAAGAGAGGCACACACATTAAAAAAAATACATACAAATAAAAGAAAAACACAAGCAAATAAATATAAAAATGAAACCAAAATAAGTGGAGAAAGTAAAAAAAAAACTCAACCTGTTACAAAGACACCAAAGACCAAAACATTCATTCAACTTTATCATTCTTGTTTTTGTTCTCTTTCATAGAAAATGAAGTAAAGTAACACTCATACCATACGTATGATGAATATATGTATGTTTGTATATCGAGTACAGTGAAATTTGTTTATGAGAATAAAAGTTTGGTTTTATTGAGCCCTTTTTTAAATAAATATATTCTTATTTATTATTAACCACATTTCTTTCTCACTGTCTACTTACAGTTATTTGTGGAAAGCTTTTTTCGAGCTTTTTTATTTGTAAAGCTTTTCTTCTTATTCCAAGAAAGCAGTTGTCATAGGTTCAGGAAAAACTAAAGGAAATTTTACAATTTTATGGCTTTCGAATGTTTAAAGTCTTTTTAACATTCGTCAACAACGGACGTAAACGCGAGAAACCAATAAAATCAAAAGTAAAAAGAAAAAAAATTAAAATAAAGTGAAATTTATTACTGAAGTCAAAAAGAATAGCAAAACGTAATTACTAACACAACAGAAAAGTTCAATAAAAGTAAGAAAATAAAAACGGGTCAACTAAATATACTCTATAAATTAATTGATTTAATTTTAACTTTGAAACAAAAGAAATACAAAAGATTATTGAATTAAAACACTAGGCGTATACGTGATAAAGTTTTATCTTAGCAAAAAACCTCAAGGCGTATAATTAATATTTATTAGTTACAAGTTTAAAGTACATTTCACAAATCTTTGAAAGTGTTAATTGATTTTTAGTTCGGTAACTATGTTATTAAACCCAAAGGAACTATTGTTTATCGAAATATCAACGCCATCATCACCATCGTCATTACACATACATACATACATACATAAATCTCATATTTTTGAATGGAATTATATAGAATTTCTTTTAGATTTTCTCACCAACTAATACCAGCATTATGTAGACACAAATAAATACATTGACATAAACCTTCTTTATTCATTCATTGTATAAACTTTATTATTATTTTTATTTTAAATGTTTTCTACCTAGATTATGTGTGTTTTTTGTTTTATTTTTGTTATAAAATCTAAGGGAAACACAACAATAAAAAATTTCCTTTTATTATTATTGTTATGCTATGAACGTAGTTATATGAATATTTATTTAGGTAAAGCAGTCATTTAAAGGTATTAAATTTTTAAATAGGATTTTATTTTGAGTTCAATTATAAAAATTAATATTTTGTTAAAAATTAATTTTAAATGTAAGAAAAAACTTATATATATTACAATTTATAGTATAACGATAATTGGGTCGGCGCCGTTAAAGTTTGACCTTGTGAAAGAAAAATTTTTTGTCTACCATCATAAATAACTGAAGATATTATTATGTCTTTGAAATATTTTTTTTTAAATTCCAAAAATTATTGTCATACATTCCACTCTATATAATGTCATTACAGTTGCTAAGACTTTTTAAGATTATTCAATGATGGATTTCAATAAGTCACATTTTTATTTAATTTTTATAAGAAAATATACACAACGTAAATTATTATTTTGAAAACGGAATTTAAAAGAATTTTTTTCAAATAGTGTTTGATTGGATTAAAGAAAGCAGAAAACAATATATATTTTCATAAATTTAGTTTTATTGGCCTGTCACAGAATTCCATTCCGATCGAATTATTATAAATTAATTGAAAAATGTTAATTTAATTAACATTAAATAAAAATCAATAATATTAAACAAATTTCAGTTCCATTTTCAACATTTGAAGTGATTTAATTCCGAAAAAGTTTTCGTTTTTCTTAAAAATAATTATATTTTTGTATTCCCTTCTTCTTCTTCAGGTGAAGGGTATACATATGTGTATATGTTTGTTATCCCGTTAGAGTTTTGCAACCCTATAAAGTATACGTATATATTTCGAGTCCTTATAAATAACGGAGTTTGAACCTACTATCCTTCTGACTGCCCGTTTGTATGCTGAAATCAATTAGTTAGTTAGTTAGTGAGTTAGTTAGTTAGTTAGTTAGTTAGTTAGTTAGTTTGTTAGTTAGTTAGTTAGTTGTTAGTTAGTTAGTTAGTTAGTTAGTTAGTTAGTTAGTTAGTTAGTTAGTTAGTTAGTTAGTAGTTAGTAGTTAGTTAGTTAGTTAGTTAGTTAGTTAGTTAGTTAGTAGTAGTAGTTAGTTTAGTTAGTTAGTTAGTTAGTTAGTTAGTTAGTTAGTTAGTTAGTTAGTTAGTTAGTTAGTTAGTTAGTTAGTTAGTTAGTTAGTTAGTTAGTTAGTAGTTAGTTAGTTAGTTAGTTAGTAGTTAGTTAGTTAGTTAGTTAGTTAGTTAGTTAGTTAGTTAGTTAGTTAGTTAGTTAGTAGTTAGTTAGTTAGTTAGTTAGTTAGTTAGTTAGTTAGTTAGTTAGTTAGTTAGTTAGTTAGTTAGTTAGTTAGTTAGTTAGTTAGTAGTTAGTTAGTTAGTTAGTTAGTTAGTTAGTTAGTTAGTTAGTAGTTAGTTAGTTAGTTAGTTAGTAGTTAGTTAGTTAGTTAGTTAGTTAGTTAGTTAGTTAGTTAGTTAGTTAGTTAGTTAGTTAGTTAGTTAGTTAGTTAGTTAGTTAGTTAGTTAGTTAGTTAGTTAGTTAGTTAGTTAGTTAGTTAGTTAGTTAGTTAGTTAGTTAGTTAGTTAGTTAGTTAGTAGTTAGTTAGTTAGTTAGTTAGTTAGTTAGTTAGTTAGTTAGTTAGTTAGTTAGTTAGTTAGTTAGTTAGTTAGTTAGTTAGTTAGTTAGTTAGTTAGTTAGTTAGTTAGTAGTTAGTTAGTTAGTTAGTTAGTTAGTTAGTTAGTTAGTTAGTTAGTTAGTTAGTTAGTTAGTTCACTTAATCGTAAATAAATCAGGAATTATGTATTTCGAACCGTATGTTTTCCAATGTGAGCAGATCTAATTTGGAAGAAAGCTGAAAAACTTATTATGTTTTACAGTTCATCAAAGATCCGTAGTAAATAAACTTTTAAAACATATTATTTGAATGAAGACTTAAATGCTTCATTAATTAAATTTTCATTATATAGGATAATTCCATTACAGTTGAATTAATAACGAAAAATAATAATCAGCAGGAGAATGTACTTACAAATGTACATATATATATGACAAATATGTATACAATACATACATCTAAACGTACAAACAAGTGTAAAAATGTATGTGACATACATATGTATGTAGATATTTTTATATACATACATATGTATGTAAGTCTAATTAATGTGCAAATTTCTTTTGAAATACAAATAATTTTTCCATTAAAAAACAAATTAGTTTTATAAAATATCAAGCAGTGATTTAAAAGGGGAAAAAAGTATTGCATACTTTTAAGCTCTGTCAGATTTAAGTATGCCTACATTTGTGTATATTAGAGAAGAAGAGTAGTGGGTTTTTGTAGCCGTATGTTTAAGTATGAGTGTTAACTTCCGTTTTGCTAAAACCCTCCATTTTTATTGTTTTTGTTTAATTTTCTTATTTTACAAGCTTTTCATTTTTACTCACTGATTTATTTGCTGTTTTATTTTTATTGTGGCAAATTTTTTTTTTGTCATTTTTCATATATTATTTGTTTTTAAAAGTTTGGCACAAAATATTTAAAACCTTTTTTTAGTAGGTTTTTATGTTTCTTTTTATATTTATGGTTGAATAATGTGGTGTTTTGGATTGTTTATTATAAAGTCTTATTATTGATTTTCAAAATTATTACATTTCTTTTCTATTTTTAGCCAAAAAATGTTATAAGAAATGAAAACAAACAAATAAATAAATATTAAAAAAAATCATTCTAAGTATTAGCCACAAGATGGAAAAGTTGTATTTGCTCAACCATAGCATGGAAGATATTTGTTTATTTTTGTTTTTGGGTTTTTTCTTTTGGTGCTATTTACATACATACATACATATTGCTTTTCCTATTATAAATTGTATACATACATATACACATACTTACCTGTCATGATAGAAACCGTATTTAAAATAAAATAGTGAGAGACCTTTAGGGTCGTCATATTTGCATAGAATTCTAGTGGGTACATTTGTTTATTTTTAGCTTTGTTAGGTCCACAAGCTAGTCAACAATAGACAACTAATATAACATA